CGTTGCACGTTATTGTTTTGCACGCGTTATTGTATATTTCGCAATGCGGACGCGAGGATGCGGATGCGACGAAGACCGGCGCAGAAAAATGCACTTTTTCGCGAGAGGCTAGCGTGCGTAGAAATCTTTTCAGAGGTTTCCCTCCCCCCGCCCCCAGGTACAAATTTCGATTCCTAAATTTGTCCGAAAATTGGTGACTCGATTGAGTAAATCTCATTCATATCCCAAAAACCTGAATTCTTTATTCAATAGAATAAAAAATGATAAAAAGGAACTCTAAAATAAAGACCAGAAAAAATGTTGGGAAAACCTTGAGATTTTCCATCTAAAATCACGTATTTGAAACATTGCACTTCTGAGTTGAAGTTCTGAGTTGTGTACGTAGAAATTAAACTGGATCTCTAATTGGACCCCAAGAAATTTTCTGTACGCGTGGCGAGCTACGCTACGAGAAAAATTGAGAATAAACGCGCTTCTCTCCCGCTTTTGTCTCTTTCGTAAGATAAGGTATTAACGTTTCGCGACGCGGGATGATAATCCCGAGCGCGAAGCGAAATTGATGGAACAGTATGTTACGTGAATTTTTACGATGTTTATCGTGCATGTATATAACTTGGCGACGAACGACCGTAAAGTACGGCACGGCACACGCGAACGGACTTTTCTCGCCCGATTACACCGCCTTGCTCGCTCCGGGGTGTTTTTAATCCAAAGTTTTGTCGGTCTCAAGACGCGAGTGAGATGCTGCGAGAAAGCCAGAGAGAGAGAGAGAGAGAGAGAGAGAGAGAGAGAGAGAGAGAGAGAGAGAGAGAGAGAGGAGGAGGAACGAAGGAGGAGCGCATTTATGTGATCGTTCGATAAAGGGCGTTCGTTCGTCGAAGCTCTCTCCTCTCCGCCAATATAACCGATTTTAGTGCCTCGTGAAACCAAGATCCTTTTCATTAAAGCTTTTACTGCTGACTAAATACGGCGAACTGCGGCGGCCGGGATCGGCCAAAGCGGGGCAGAATATACGAATGAGAGCGGCGGGAGAGAGGAAGTTCTAATCCCCCCGAATGTTAACTTGGATTACGTGCAAACCGACCGACCTTCTCTCTTTACCACTGACGGCTAATAAAGAGCGGGCAAGTGTGCACAGTACCCATTCAATTGAAAACACAGATGTACACTTGCTTGCAAGACGGTTTAGACAGGATGAAACATGGAGCGCGTCAAATTGTCGCGATGGAGAGCCGCTATTGACAGGCTTGCGCTATAATTGGCACATGACAGGAGCCGAAGTGATAGCACACGATGTAAATACCTCAGCTCTTTATGGTGCCCTTTTCCGAAACAGAAGAGTGAGTGTGATAAAAATATGTTACGTTTTTTTCTGAATCCTCCGTTACAACTGTAAATATGGAATGTCCCGTGTGCTGTCACTTCGGCTCTCGTCATAACCGATTACTGTGCAAGACCGTCAATAGTAGTTCTCGATCGCAAGAGTGTTCCTTCTAGATGAAGCTGTTCTTTTTAGATTCGGTCCAATTGACATCGGATATTTCTGTCTCTCAGACGAAAATCGAGTTAAATCGAGAAAGTCGAGTTGAGGGCGGTACGAAAACGTCGCTAAATATTACAACGAGTTCTCTGTCACACGAGGAAGATCCTGAGCTTGTGTTGTCGCGCGAAAAAGGGGTCAGTTATGTTAAAAATAAGCTCACCGAATCGCGCGAGCGTAATCGTGAAAGCATTGTGAAATTAACTCGCCAATATTCCCGATGTATTGTCCGATTACGAGGATTGTCCTGACCCGAGTTACGTCGAAATCGAGTTGCATATGCTTATTGATACTCGACAAGCGAGTCGCATTTGCAAACAAATTTTGAATGCGCATGAGTTTAATTACCGCGGAGTTTAATCACGCGTAGCATAATTTGCACGATATTGCGAATCTTCGGACGAAGATATCGCTCCCACACTCGAAACTTTCGCGTCTCGCGCACTTTTCGCTGTGAGCTCGAAAGATCAATGCTATCGGTTCTCTCGCGGCAAATTCTTTTTCTGTCGACTTCCAAATTTTTCTGACGCTGAGTGGAACACGCGAATGGAAAGTACCGTGCGCGATCGAAACAGGGAAAGGAAGAGAAACAGATGGAAGAAGGGAAGAAGGGAAAATGTCACTTTTGTTACATCCACACTATATAATGAAGTGAAAATGTAAAAACAAAATGCATAGAAAAACAAAAGCGGAAAATGAGAAAAAGTGCAGGTGTGGAGAAAACAGAAAAGGACGGAGAGAGAAAGAGAGGTAGAGCCTCATTGCGTCACGCGATAAAACAACAAGAATTCCGGATGCATCGCGAACGGAGCGATCCGTGTGATTACTCAATTAATTGAGCATACGTCACCGGTGGTCTCAAGGATTCTCGTAATGCGTCAATACGAATCGCGCGCTAAACATCAAGTTACTTTATTTCGTATCATTGGCTCGTGCGCTGTTTAAAGAAGCAACGTTTCGCGTCAGTGTGTGCTTTAAAAGACGAGGTCGTCGGTGCAGAATGCCGAGAGGAGACTATACGCGTCCAGACGGCGACGTCGTCGTCGGCGCCAAGCGCCGTGCTAACTAGCACCCCTAGCACACACGCGCGCACACGCGTATACGTGTGTACACGTACATGTACGTACGTACCCTCTCCTCCCACAACGTACACATATCCACGCTCTTTATTAAACGTCGCCCCGTCGGCACCCCCACACGTTCTCCTTCATAAAATTGAACACGACGCGTTGTTGTACACCTATACGCGGCTCGTACGCGACGGTACGTACACACGCGCGAAAAGAAAACTGACGGAAGGGCCGGAGTCGGTGCGAGAAGAAGACGAGAAGGGACGACGACTCGCGCCGCGACGGTCATTAAGCTCGAAAGTTCTTATTCGGACGGCGGCACGACGCGTGTCGATTCGCACGAATTAAAGTGCGCGCCATACGTGTCTATTTCTGTACTACGCCGGCCATGCCGGCGGCTTTTCGCGAGATTTTTGACGCTGCTACGCGGTCGTCGTTGAGATCAGAAGGAATCTCGTCGATCTCTTTGGCGATTTTTCAAAGTCATAAAGGCGATTGTATCACTTCACGATAATGATCATGATAATATTGGTAACAATAGTAACAATGATGATTATGACGATAACTTTTGTCGTAAACAATGTTGTAATGTAGGCAAAAGGAGATATATTATAAGCATAACAACATGAAACACATGTACAAACGACTATTAATGAAGCCAATTTTGGAGGAAACCTTGCTTTCTTGAACACAGTCGTAACTATTATTCGTCGAAAACGCGACGAACGATCGCCATCCCTCGTCTTGACCCGGCCGCAGTCGTTCCATTATGTCGAGGACAAACGCTTGACTTGTAACCAGAGTCGGGCGCTTTTGCGCCGCATCTCGAATGACTAACGATCTCAGGAGATGGAGAATGATTGATTGGGTTACATGTGTATACTCTTGACTGCTAATTAACTTCCTCAATACGATGACGGAAACGTATACACAAGCCCGAGCGCAATTTCGCTAATGAAACGACTTGTACGTCATTGTAATTCGAACGTAAATTTCGTACGGAAATTGCGTACGATAACAATAACAGTAACAACAACGATAACAAAATGGTGTTTGCCCTCGGAAAAAAGAACGTAACGTGTCAACCGTAAATCTTGCGGGTTTACGAGCAAGAAATGATCCTCCGTCGTAATGTCGCGTCCTTAACGTTCTCGCTCCCGCTCGATTGTGATGCACTCGTTTCATTATGTGCTTAAACCGCAACTTTTCGAAGCTCGTCGCGGGCTCTAACAATAAGACGAAGATCGCGCGCCGCTAAGTATCGACCCTCCCGTCTGGCTTGTTGAGCGCCTTCACCCTCTTGGCTTCTAAATTTAGTCCACTCGTTCGATGCTATTCTTTTTACTTACCCCCGAGCGAGTCCACGGGCACGTTGGCCTAATCGCGTTAATTTTGTAGCCGCTGGCTCCTTTGACACGACTCGCACGGACGGGATTCATCGAGCGTCGTTGCCTTTGATTCACGCGCCATGCCGCCAGTGATTAACCTGAAAGAAAAGGAAGTCTGTATGTGTATGTGTGTGTGTTGCGAATAAACTCCATTTCACGCAGTCCTATTTCTATGTTTCTCGCGACTGTGTCGAGCAGTCGCAAATTTATAACACGTGAGTTAATCTCTAAACTGATTTCTTTAAATTTCGACTAGATTTATCTTTCTTACGAGAGACCATAGATACCTCGCCAGAATCTTTCGCCGATGCTTGAGATATTGAAGAATCCCTCGCTCGCTGAAAAATAAAGAACTTATTATAAATATTAGAAACGAAAAAAAAACGAATACCGATCGCGTCGGCGTGTTGTACGAAGAAATCATGACTGAGGCTTACTGATTTTTCTTCCTGCGACTCGCTGAAATATTACGACGCAGCAATTTGGCCCTCGAGCCGCCATTTTGACGAACGCGCCAAATTTTACTTGGCATTCCGGTAACACGTTTCGCGAGATATTCGCTCTTGTGACTGCTTGCGAGCGATACCACGTACCGATAAACGTGCGACACGCGCTTCCGGCACTCCTGGACAAGAATTCGCATGTGAGATACGTCCTCGGCGAATTGAAATCGCAGAAAATCACGGAGCGGCTTCACAAACATTAACCGACGCCATATACCATCTATTAGGTCTGAACACATTTACAAGTGGGGTCGGTTGAGTTTCTCGAAGTATCGAGATGCGCGACACTTCACGGCAAACTATCCGATCGTACCGATCGTTCGTTTGGTCATTGGCGATCGCAGACATGCGATCTCAAATAACCTCGAAATGCTCCAATTAGCTTCGCTACATCGATTATATATATATACGATTTAACCGCGACAAGCACATTAGCCGGTTGTCTATTTCGCGAGAGAGGTTAATTTATGACAATTCGCAGCATCCGATGCACACAACTTACCTTCACCACGACTCTGCGCTGCTGGCAACAATTCGCACGCGAGATTTTCTTTTGGCTGCGAAGAAACGTGATACGTCGTAATACGTAATACGTCGGTGTCTCAAGCTCCAGAGTACCGTAACGCGAATACCGAAATTTCACTCGGCTGCAAGTCCATTCCCCGAGACGCTCAATTCTCGATGATCGACGATATTTTCACGCTTGAGCGCTGCAAATACGCGCAAAATACGCTTTTGGTATATTCCTTAAACACACACGATGATAATATACGAGCAAACTTTACCTCAGAGCAAATCGAAACAGCCGACGACACCACGGGACAGCTTTTCAAATCTCAACCGAAAGATGACTTTGTTCCGCGATTTGTTCCGTATTCAATGTATGCCTATAGATGCGCAACTTTTACGTTTTCTCGTTGCGATTCTCGAAAATCGATACGGTACGTCGATATCTTACAACTGTACTTTCTGTACTATTTTCTTATTTTTATCCGATTATTGCGCGTTTTGCTCGATTGCCTCGATAATATTTTTCGAGCACTACTACGAAGATATACTATAGGGAAAACTTAGTGAAAACAATCAATCATTTTACTACAATGCTGTGTTATTTAATGACATTTTGCCATTTAAAATATTCTGCGAAAGTGTATCTCCATGGTCAATATTCTCACATAGATAGTAACTGTAGATATATACGGGGTTCGACAAAAATTTATACTTATTACATCATGGAAATATATACCCAACGAGATATTTATAATAATATAATAATAAAAATATCTGAAATAATAATTTTCATATATATAAAATTAAATTACCCTACTATATGACACATAACATACAAAGCCATCTAGCAGTAGATTGATATTAAATGATTGGAAACGGTCGGTAATATCAGTGCTCTTCAGTTGACTCCGGTAAAGTCATAAAGTGTTTCGTTACTAACTTATTTTAGAGGAGAACTTTTCGTATTTCTTGCTATTGAAATAAAAGATAATTACATATTTAGAACTCAGAGTAGGCGAGATATAAGAAAGAAAAAATGTGCGGATAGTACGAAACAAACAAACCTATTGTCTATCATATGCTATGTGATACAACGTAACCTCTCTCTCGAAAATGAAACAGATACTGGATAGAGTACTGCTTAACAGATGCATTTATTTTATGTTTAAAGATAGTCAAAGATTCAAAGGTCATAGTAAGTGGGATAATATAAGACATATAAAGGCCGAAAAAGATTACGAAAGAATGTTGCTGTTTAAGAGTCTCAAGTTGCAAATGAAGGTTGCGATACAAGGTATGCTGTGCTTATATTGCGATAGTTGTGTCTGTTGGGTTATTAGCAACTGCACATGATATTTCTATTTCATAGCTATATTTAAGTATATTCCCTTTTCTACGATATGTTTTAAATGTTCATTAAAATGTGAGATTTGTAAACACAATTTTATCTGCAATAACATCTTTAATGTTGATAATGAGCTATAAAATAATACAATATTCTTCTTCCTTTTAGAACATGGTAGTACAAAACCCGATAATAATTTAAAATTGGCACAAGTTATTGAAAATGCTAAGAAAGCAAATATGCCCATATCCTCAATAAAAAGTTTCCTGGAAAAAATGGAAGCAACGAAAAATAAAATTCATGAAGGAATAGCAGAAATTCGTGGGCCAAATGGTTATGCCATGCTTATATATTATAATACAAATAATGTAAAGCAATTTAAAATGGACTTAAGAAACAGATTGAAAAAATGCAGGTATAAATAAATTACTTATAAAATACATACAAAAGAAATATATATATCCACATCTATACAAATGTATAAAATCATCCTTAAGTATTCTAAAAAATATTTCTCTACTATTCTATACTCTTCAGTAATCTCTGTTTAATAAATAGTAACACTTGAAACTTTGGTACTTTCTTCTGTTACAAATATAGTGGGAATGTCGCAGATTCTTCTGTCAGAAATATGTTCACACACATAGGAAATATTATAGTTGAAAAGAAAAATACTTTAGAACAGGCCACAGAAGATGCCATTGATATTGGTGCACAAGATATAAATGAACTTGAAGAGAATAATAAACAATATTTCCAGGTATATAATTAAGAATTATTTTAGAATTATTTTAGAATAATTCTATAAATAAAGCTTATTTAATTCAAAAATGTGAACAAAATTAATTTTCGTTAGAATATGTAAAATTTTTTATATCAGAATTACAGTTATTTTATATATATAACCATATTTGTTTTTCTATTACAGTTCACATGTGATCCGGAGGAAATATTAAAAATAAAAAATATGTTGGAACATCGTCAATATTGTGTGATTTCAGTAGAAAAAAATTATGTGCCTCATACTATAATAAAATTAAATGAATCAGACTTGGAAGCTGTTTCTCACATCCATCAAAGGGTTCGAAGTTTAGAAGATGTTAATGAAATATATGATAATATAACATAAATTATAATAAAACAAATCATAAAATAACATGTAAAAGTTAGTGGCATTTTGATGACTTCTTTACATTAGTATTTGCTGTTATCTTCTATATTATAGATATATTTTTAAAAACATTTTAAATTAGTGTTTATCAATTAGTTTTTATCAAAAATTGTTTTATTCAAGTCATTAATAAAACATACATTATAACGAAATTATAAGATGAAAATTATTTCATAAAATGTACCATGTAATAAATCATATAAAATTTTATTTTTATTTTTATCGTTTATATCACATGTACATCTGTTAAGGCAGTTTTATTTTTAACATAAATTCATATATAATGTAGTATATAGAATATAGTATATGAATGAATGCAATGGCATTCATTCATCAGTTTTACATGAATATCTAGTTATAAAATAATGGTTATAAAATAATAGTTAAATTAACGATAAATACTATCAAATTATGTTCCATAGTTAAATTAATGATAAATACTATCAAATTATGTTCCATAAATATATTATCAGCAATGCGATATTTTATGCTCCTTTATAAAAAGAAATTTGTACAAATGTATCTATTCTGATGAATATCATTACATACAAGATTTTGATTATCAAATAAATTTACCATCTGTGTTACTTAATTTTCATAAAAATGAAAGTATTTTAATTACCGTTAATATCCACACCATATCCTTTAATTTCTTGAACATTAGAACCAGGAAAATTCGCTATTAGATTCCCATAGAAAAGTCTCTTCAGTATCTTCTTAGTCATTCTTGTCTTCCTATTCCAAGGACTACAGATTACGTTATTTATAGAATCAATTGCTTGATTCCTTTTTGGAGGGATATCAATAAATTCTGCATTATCTACATTTTCTTGATTACTAATAACATTAACATCAGTTACATCTACACTGTGATTGGTGAAACTTTTAGTACCTAATGTATCTTTTGATCGTTTATGTTTCTTATCTTTCTTTTGTAACTTGGTATTCGACTTTTGTTCTTCCACTGTATTTTCCTTATCAGAAATTTCCTGTTCCATATCACACATGTTAATTTCATTTTCTAAATAATTGTCTTTACTGTTATGCTTCTTCTTTTTCTTCTTTACAGTACTTTTTTCTTCTAACAGCACACTTTTTTCTTTTGATGTCGTAACAACTAATGACGTTTCAACTGTTGTCGGATCTTTTATAATTGTTTCCCGTTTTTTACTCTTTTTCTTCTTAATATTGACTAAATGATCAGTCTGTTGCTGTCCCTTTTCTGATTTCTCCAACACTTCTTTTGACACAATTTCGTATTCTTCTTTGTCCTTTTCTTTTTCTTTACTATGTGTTCCATAAGTTATTTTTTTATCTGATTTTTCATTCTCAACAGTCGTTATAATATCATTGTCTATAATTTTGACTTCTTTCTTCTTTTTCTTTTTCTTCTCTGAATTTTTATTCACAGAATCTATTTCTTTATTTTCAGCAGAACTAATATCCAAAGTAGTATCTTCTTCCAACTTGATTTCAATTATTTCTTTTTCTTGTTCAGGTGATTCTTGTATCGTCTCTAGATTGGATGTTTTACGTACCTTCCTTTTTTTAATCTTCGTACTTTTGTGTTCATTCAATTCATTATCATTAATTTCTGCAGACGATATTTCCACATCTAATGCCTCATTAACAAATCCATTTGACAAAGTTGTAACATCCTCATATTGTCGCTTCTTCTTGTGTTTTTTATTTTCTACTTCAAATTTATCTAATGTAGCTTTTCCTTTCTTTCTCTTTGTGACATCTATGCTGTATTCTACATGATCATTAAATGTTACACGTTTTTTATTACTTTTTTCATCTGTCAGATCCAGGCCACAATTTTCTAAACCGAATTGTGCTCTTGATACTTCAAATTCTTTACCATTACAATCTTCATCAGGTTTTGTGTCTAAATTCAGAGCTGGATTCATGAATCCCTCTTTGGAATTACTATCTATAATTTCAATTTTTAATTTCTTTCTGGCATTAACTTGATTCGCTTCATCAACATATAAATCAATACTTTCTGAGACAAATTCCTTCTTCCTTTTTTCTTTATTTTTTTTGGAAGAATCCTCAGTATTAAGCATAGTTTCTGGAAAACTATTTAATCTTAAGCAAGGATTATCAAAAGCATAATTGCTTTTTTCATTTTTGTTCTTTGGTATTCCATTGGACAGAATATTTTCAGTTTTTGATGTAAATCCAAAACCAACATACTGCTCAGTCTCACTTTCAGAATTAGCTCTTTGGTTATCAATGATATTACTTGCTAAGTCTTTTTGTAGCTTTTGTTTAAAATAATCAGCCATGCTGCCACTGTTTATGGTGAAAACACCACCCCATTTATCTTTAGTATCAATAGCTTCATTTTCACAAATATTATTATCTTCTTCTACTTCAGTTTTACTGGTCAATTCCTTTTTACCAAAAATGTTTGCCAGATCTTTTGTGCTATATTTACTTACAACTTTCCCACGTGTAAACTTTTGATAACTGGAAATAAGTCCCACATATTCATATATTATAGCAGAAATACAATACCTTATAATAATACAATTTTTATACAATTTGTGATACTGTTGGATAAAGAAGACAATCATTAGTAGCGACATCCTATGTATATATATCTATATATACTTACTGCAATCGAGCACAACTTTGTTTAGACTTTAGCTCCAATGATTGCCTAGTTAGATCTTCATTACTTTCCAATTTTTCAATAGTTTCTTCCTGGTTATGATGATTTGCAAGTTGTTGTAAGAATTCATTAAATTTGTCCTGATGTTCATGTATATCTTGCATATACAAATTATTATATCCTATACCTTTAAGAAAGAAAACTAATTTTGACCAAGTATTATATTACTATACGTCAGTTATTGTTATATACATGCATACGCGCATGCGCATACATATACAGACACATATATATAGTTGCTAGTACATCCTATAATATTGTTATAAAAAATAGGAATTGTCTTTATTACCAGCTCTTTCACTTTCAGGATTCCTCTTGTTTACCCTTACATGTTCTGTAATACCTTGCTCGTTAATACCCAATCCTTTTCCACTGGTCCAGCCCATTTTCTCCAACATTTTCTGACCAATTTTATCATTGTCTATAGCCAACAATAATATATCATGAAGAATATCATGAAGAATAATATATCATGAAGAAAATATCAACAATTCTTGATGTATATTTAAATAATTTAAATGTAAGGTTAAAATCATTACTTTTTCATAAAAAAATTATAATTTATAATTATATATAATTTTACAAATGTGAATGAAATAGTTTTGACTTCTATATTTTTCAAAAAATTTTACACATTTTGAAATATTTACCTTTACTCCATCGCTTTCCTTGTGGGTCGATAGACCATTTCTTTTTTCGCCGGGATTCCGCAAGCATGGACATGTTATTTATTATACTTTAATCGCGTCTTTATCGTAAATTATTGTAGATAATAATCAAACACGATTAAAATTAAATATTTGCATATTAATATTCGACACTATAAGTTAACTTTACTTGCATAGTTTTTCACAAATGTGCACAAAGTACTCGCGAGAAAACTAGGAGAAAAGAAACTATGAAAGACACTATCCATGCTTATTACGAGGTATGTTTGATATTCCGGCCACGATATTCCTAAGAGGGCGCTAATGCACAGCGAAATTTAAAAAATAACCGACTGTGGTTGGTCAATTTGGTTACAACTTATGACTAATAGCAGAGAGAAGCCTGAGAGCGGCCACGATCAACGATAAGTCAGCTAAACCATTCCTTTTAAATGAAAAAAAATAAATACAACGAAACAGGAGGTTAAGAGGATTTTCAAACAACATATCACGAATTAATCTTTTTCTTTTTCCTTAAAATATATGTATTTTACATAACATAGTTTTATTTTAAGAAAGATTCAAAAGATACTGAACATACTAGCGTATCTTTTACTGTACCAAGATTGATAAGATCACCAGTTAATGACATTGTATCTAGTTTTGCAGCTAAAACATGCTGAAAAATAATAATGCCTGGTTATTAAGAATTGTGATAATATTGTATCTTATAAGTAAATAATAATCATTAAGATACACAATTTACTTGAAGGCAAGTAGTTTGTACTCCAGCGGAGACATCCAAATAGTTTTCACCCAGCCGTAATCTCATCTTGCCAGACTTCAAAAGCTCAAGTTTACCTATGAGACCACTGTTTAAATCCTTTATAGTACAATACTCAGTTTTCTCTTTATTATTTGTGTTAGTAGTTAGTCTCGAGTCATTGGATCGTTTTGGTTTCGGATCCTCTTTGTCATCACTAGATTTTAGGCCTGGCAAGCAAACTGGAAACTGTAATCAATTATTAAATAAAGTTATATCAGTATTTGCATCTGTTCATTTATGAAATGAAGTTATATCAACATCTATAATGTGATATAAAGTATATATACGCACCTTTATCAACACATAAGAATTGGATTTATTCTCAATTATTTCAGGAATTTTTTCATTTGCATCTTTCTTCTCCTCTTTTAACATCTCCATCTTTACTTTCTGCTCTTTTTTCACACTTACCACTACTGAAGGAGACAAATGAAATATATAAATATAATAAAATTATCACAGATAATACCTTATATTTAAAATATATAAAAATAATAAAATATATAAAAGCCAAATAAAAACCAAATTGTAAGTCTAATTTGCATATATTTTACAATATAAATTGCATATATTTACAATATTACAACATAAAATTTGGCATTGAACTTTACACTTACCTTCACCATTTTCTGAAATAATTGGTTTCTTGTCAACATCGTTTTCATCAGTACGTGCACTAACTTCTGTCTTAATCTCCTTTTTATATAATTTTTTAGTATCTAAAAATAAAATCATAAGATTAATATTGGCATAGATAAAATATATTAACAAATTGAAAAATTTTTAAAATTACCATCTTTACCCAAAGGCAACATTATATAATCAATATCCACATTAACATCATTATCAGCAGAGTCATCCCCTAACAGGTTTTTTAATTTTTCTTCTTCTTCTAATTTATTAATAACTTTATTTAAATTCATCTTTGGTTTGTCCATATATTTTCTGGTACTTGCACTACTATCTCTTGAGCTACCAGATCTTCTACTGACTATCGGTGCATTTAATCCTTCAGACCATACACCCACAGACTAAAAATAAAAAAAAGAAAGAAAAAAAATTATTTACATCATGAAATAGAAGAAATAATTTAGTGTTAGTAAAGAACTTGAATGTTATAGTTTCTTATTTTTATTTATCTACAGCTTTTGCTTAGCAAATTGAAAATAATAATGCCACAGGTATCAAGCTATTGTAAGAATTCAAATGATAAATAACAAATATCTCAACATATTACTCAATATGTTACAGTTTGAAATTTAGAAATATCTTCATCTACCATGTAATAATATTCCACTTAACTGTTCAACTATTCACAATAATCTAATCTAGTAACATATGTTTAGATAAAGATATTAGCAAAAAGAAAACACAATCTCTTTGTATGATTTTAATTACTAAACTTACTTGGATTAAATGTGCTTTGCCACGTCCTCTATCACCTCTGCCTCGTCCTCTCCCATGATCTTTGAATCCACTATCTCTTAACTTTGTAGATTCAATCTTAGGTGTAACTGGTTCACTGAAATTATATTTGTCATTAGCATATTACAAGAACATTCATTAAGTAAACAATAACTTACTCCTTCTTTCTGTTCCGCTGAACATTAAGGTTTGGTGTGTATTTTTTCTGTTTATCAGTCTTTAAATTTCCACCTAACGTCAGATCTCGAGGTAGACGATAGGATGTTAATCTCTGTGTTGTGGTAGGTAAACCAGGTTCCATTTTGATATTTTTCAATATTATATCTGCAGACACTGATGATGTACATTGGGGAGTACTGTATCGCGCCGCGTCAGGAGAAGTATCTCTCCTCTGGCGATCACCACCTACTGCGCACTTTCTTCGTGTTTCCTTCTCTAGCGGATCCGCAAGACCAGGTTCTATCTTTACTCGTATATTCTTGTGTAGTGTATTGTTTGCGTTGACCGCATCGTCCGAAGAGAAATTCATCTCTAGTACACTTGTTTTTATTTATCAATAAGAAACAACCGACATCGACTGCGGCTTCCGCGAAATTCACTGCCAGTACTGAAAATACATAGTTTGTGTCACATATACTATAGATTTTCAGTGCTGACAGTGAACATATAGTTTGTGTCACGTATACTATAGCTCTTCAGTACTGGCAATGAATATCGGGGCCGTGTTCCGATGATGGGTGCATTCAGTACTATCGCTCACTGAGCGCTAAATGAGTTCTTGCATCTGATTGGTGTATATTTTTAAATCTAAAGGAATATACCAATCAAATGTAAAAGCTCATTGAGCGGTTGTAGTACTGAATGCACCCATTCACTGACAGCACTGAAATTCTATAATATACGTGACACAAACCATGTATTTCCAGTACTGGCAGTGAATTTCAAAACGCAGCCAGGAACGCAATCAAAATATATCTTTTTCATATGTATGTAGCGACTATGTTAACAAAATATTTAAAACAAGTAAAATGGGTATCATGATTAAATTCTTTTTATTTTCTGGATTCTTAATAGCTTCTTTGTTATTCTGAGAATATTAACATGTTTAATACAAACAGAGAGAAGAAGGAGAGAGTGCCATGGGCCGCTTTTAGCCGACCCTAGAGATCCTCAAATAAAGAGTCTGAACCAGTCTGAACACGGGCCTGAAAATGGCCGACTCAGTGTGTTCTTTTTAGCTGCACAATGGTGCAAAAAGTATCAGTTAAGCTCCTTGCACAATGGGCAGGCAACAGGCAATAAGAATAAAAATATACCAATCATAATAGATTATTCTTGTAATAGTCGATTGTGATTGGTCTATTTTTATTCTTATTGCTTGTTATCTGGCATTGTGCAAGGGGCCTTACAACCAGAGAGAAACATGAGAGCGGCTAACACGGTGTTTTCGGCGACACCAACTTTCCGCATTGGGAAAGGACACATCTGCATTCATTTTGAAAGGGGGACTACGATGCTACATCCATTTTCAGGCGGTTTATGTCCGTGCTACAACCATACTGCGTACTTGACAAGCACATTGTTACGCGTTTATAACATGAATTAACATGTATGTATATAATATGTTCATAACATGAATTAACTTGTATTGTTAATGGTTGCGTTCAGAAAACAAAGCGCTCACTGAGCGCTTAGTAACTATTGGTCATTACTGTTAGATCCTTACATTCAGACCAATAACGTTGACGAATTACTCAACCTTGTGTAACCGTTGTGTTTACTGAACGCAGCCATTGGCCGCGTTCAGTAAAACAAAATGATCAGAAAGCGCTTAGTGATTATTGTCTATGATTGGAGCATTCTTTTAGATTCTTCATAGACCCAGAAGTATTGACCAATCAGGAGCGAGATTCAGTGGAAAATCTAGTAATGTTGTCCAACTGTTGAGTCTGCTGAATGCAGCCATTATCTCCGTTTCTACATAGCACCTCGTCGATGGGTCTGTTTTTTTCAACTGAACTAGTGCTGCACTGAAATTGCACTAGTTCAGAACTAGCGGAAAGAACGCTTCAGTGTACTCTTTTTGAACTAGTAAAGAAAGTTCAGCTGGAAAGAATAAACCTCAAGCATTCCTTTACTTTTTCTGTAGCGGGAGTGAAGCCGGAGTTGGCAGTTTAAATTGGAGTGAGAAAATTGATTTGCCTTAAGCCAGCGGCACACGATGCTTGTTTTCGTGCTGGATTGCTTCCTGGATGAAAATACTGCATTCTGATTGGTGCATTTCCACCCATCTTCGGAAATGTACCAATCAGAATGCAATCTTGCACCGTGTGCCGCTGGCTTTAATGTTTTCTCAATGGCCGCGTTCAGTAGAACAAAGTAATCAGAGAGCACTTAGTGATTATTGTCTGTGATTGGAGCATTCTTTTAGATTCTTCATAGACCCAGAAATATTTACCAATCAGGAGCGAGATTCAGTGGTAAATCTAGTAATGTTGTCCAACTGTTGAATCTGCTGAATGCGACCATTCTCTCTTAAGCCAGCGGCACACGGTGCTTATTTTCGTGCTGGATTGCTTGCTGGATGAAAATATTGCATTCTGATTGGTGCATTTCCATCCATCTTCGAAAATATACCAATCAGAACGCAGTATTTTCATCCAGCAAGCAATCCAGCACGAAAACAAGCACCGTGTGCCGCTGGCTTTATTGACTGTCAAACAGTATGGCACCTAATTGACATCGATGGTACCTGAGAGCGGCCAATACGACATTTTCTGCGACACCGACTTTCCGCACTGGGAAAGGACGCCATCTGCATCCATTTTGAGAGGGGAACTACGATAGTACATCCACTTTCAGGTCTCGGTGGTAAAATCTGCATATGGTGGAAGTCCATGCTACATCCACTTTCAGGCGGTTTATGTCCGTGCTGCAATGACAGTTGCCATCTCTATGCCAGACTATGCCCGTGTGGTCTAAAAAGAGCGGGGGAGAGGGGGGAGGAGCAGAAAAAATAAAAGTACGTATTAAATGTTAAATCTTCGAATATATATTGCCGTATCAAAGTCTCTTCTATAATAAACAATTTGACATGTATGGAGACGCATGATGTATCGTTGTCCGCGTCCCGTTCACTTCGTCTTGTTTTTTAATTCAGCATCCCGTCCGCTCCGGACATTCGCTCGTGGCACTGACAGTGGCCGTCGGTGAGCATTCGATCCGCTCGGAGGAGCACGTGTTATTCACGTAATTAACGTGACGAGACTCCGATTATAAATATCCCGCAAGTCGACGAAATATTTGAACTTTTAAAAAAAGCATCAAAGAAAATCACGTTAATGTTGTCATGGGTAAAATCTCACCCCGGTATATATTTTCTTATTTTCGAAATAAAAAAAGCCAAACGAATGCAATTAAATGTTATTTATCATCATTGAATATTAAATGAAAAGTAGAAGAGTTATTGTCCGCAGCGGATAATCTCCCTGTATAAAATGTCGAACTGAAACATATTAAAAAGTATTGATATTTTGAATACGTCTGAATTCTGCTTTCTGATCCGAAGAAAGGGAAAATAAAAAGTATTAGTTCCCATTAAATTTCACCGCGCTAAATGCGAGATGGCAGTAGTGAATGCTTCGCATTAACAAAGATTCAATTCGTTTCAAATATGCCTTGTATTCAATCGCAATCGATAATTTTTAAATGCGAACTTTCGTATTGAAAAATATTCACTTCTTCTCCTAATCGTTTTCGGATTCAGAGGCATACAAGATTTTCACGTTCTATTCCCCGTCGCATTAAAAAGTATTCACCCGCGATCCAATCTGAGAGCAGAATTCACGACAAAATCTCGTGAATGATTCTCTTTTGATGTTCAGTCATCTGAATAAGAGAATATTCATATGTACAAACGCGACACCGACATCAGCTGCTTTATTTTTATTTTTCAAGCGGACCGCAGAATTACTTAACGATTTAATTATTTGACAATATTCAATTGTCCGTATAAAATATATTCATACCTAAATGCCGATATCGTTAGCTACTTTTCTTTTATTTGCAAAACAGGCTGTAGAATTATTTGGCAATATTGTCCATTCATCACAATCCCTATTGTCTCGAGTAGCGTATAATGCGCGTAGAAATTGGCCAGCGCACGTCGAGCTTGAGGTATCCTCGAACTCACTACATGGACGACTCTCTACTCCCAGTGGAAGCGGAGATATCGACGGAGAAAGGTTGGAAAACTTTAACCTTCGATATCTCCTAAACGGTTAGAGATACAGGCTTCGGACTAGTACCAAATTAAAGCCCTTTCAAAACCCTACATTTTGGACTACATGGACGACTCTCTACTCCCAGTAGAAGCGGAGATATCAACGGAGAAAGGTTGGATATCGACGAAGAAAGGCTGGAAAACTTTAACCTTCGATATCTCCTAAACGGTTAGAGATACAGGCCTGGTTCTGGCATCAAATTAAAGTCCTTTCAAAACCCTACATTTTCGACTACATGGACGACTCTCTACTCCCAGTAGAAGCGGAGATATCGACGGTGAATGGCTGGAAAACTTTAACCTTCGATATCTCCTAAACGGTTAGAGATACAGGCCTGGGTCTGGCACCAAAATGAAGCACTCTCAAAACCCTACATTTTCGACTACATGGACGACTCTCTACTCCCAGCAGAAGCGGAGATATCGACGGAGGAAGGCTGGATATCGACGGAGAATGGCTGGAAAACTTTAACCTTCGATATCTCCTAAACGGTTAGAGATACAGGCCTGGCTCTGGTACCAAATTAAAGTCCTTTCAAAACTCTACATTTTGCCGTAAATGGCGACTCTCTACTGCCAGTAGAAGCTGAGATATCAGCGGAGAAAGGTTGGAAAACTTTAATCTTTGATATCTCCTAAACGGTTAGAGATACAGGCCTGACTCTGGTACCAAATTAAAGTCCTCTCAAAACCCTACATTTTCGACTACATGGACGACTCTGTACTCCCAGTAGAAGCGGAGATATCGACAGAGGAAGGCTGGATATCGACGGAGAATGGCTGGAAAACTTTAACCTTCGATATCTCCTAAACGGTTAGAGATACAGGCCTGGCTCTGGTACCAAATTAAAGTCCTTTCAAAACCCTACATTTTGCCGTAAATGGCGACTCTCTATTCCCAGCAGAAGCGGAGATATCAACGGAGAAAGGTTGGAAAACTTTAATCTTCGATATCTCCTAAACGGTTAGAGATACTGGCCTGGCTCTGGTACCAAATTAAAGTCCTTTCAAAACCCTACATTTTGCCGTAAATGGCGACTCTCTGCTCCCAGTAGAAGCGTAGATATCAACGGAGAAAGGTTGGAATACTTTAACCTTCGATCTACTACACTTTGGTCTTAGCTCAGAGAGCCGTGAAGCGATACTTTAGAACTGCTACGTTCGCATTTTATCCTCTCCAAGTCGTTAATTCAACTCCGAGTATGCTAATGCCATCGGGCGCCACGTAGCAGCGAGTTGTAAATACAAGGTACGAGTGTAGTTTAATAAGTCAGTAACTTTTTTAATAAAAGATATTTTTTTCGGCCAATAAGCGTTTTATTTCTCAACGTAGTCTCCTTTTAGCTCGATACATTTAGTCCACCGTTTTTCCAATTTTTTTATTCCTTCCAAATAAGAGGTTTTCTCAAGGCCCTCAAAATAGGCGTTTGTTTCAGTGATGACCTCTTCGTTCGACCCAAATCTGTTACCGCCCAGCCATTTCTTCAGGTTTGGAAACAGGAAATAGTCGCAGGGGGCTAAATCTGGTGAATATGCTGCATGGGGTAGCAGTTCGTAGCATGTTAATTATGCATTTGTAACATGTTAATTCATGTTACAAATGCATAACAATGAGCGAGACCATGCTTGTCAAGTACGCTATTATGGTTGTAGCATGGACATAAACCGCCTGAAAGTGGATGTAGCACGGACAGCCACCAGATGCAGGTTTTACCGTCGAGACCTAAAAGTGGATGTAGCATCGTAGTTCCCCTCTCAAAATGGATGCAGATAGCGCCTATTCCCAGTGCGAAAAATCGGTGTCGCCGAAAACGCCGTGTTGGCCGCTCTTAGCTTCCTCTCTGCTGGTACTATACAACTTAACCTTCTACACTTTACACTTGTAAATCGTTCTTGGCTAAAGACGCAAGATATAATCACCAAAGACGAGAAAAAAAATTTACTGTTGACATTGAAGTGAAGTGAAAAAAATACTGAAAAATAATAAAAATGAAATTGAGTTCTTGCATTTGTGACATTGCGGCTTGCACTCCATCCTTATATTGTACCTGATAACAACCATTTACTTTCGATACGATAAAGTGAGAAAGCATTACGGCAAATTAACTTTCTCACTCTGATTCAAACTGCCAACTTCGGCATCACTCTGTGGGTGGAATGCTCGGTTTAGATATATACGTCATTGCAATTCGGTAATAAAGAATCAGTATACACTTTTGAAATTAGTGCAGTCAAAGTAGTAATAAAAAACACACCTGTTATCAGTGCATTTTAACAGTGTTCTGTACTGCACCGTATTGTATATTTATTTATCAGTCGTCAACAGGCGAGAAAATGCAAATACTACGGCAACTGGACGTGCACCCGAAAGTTCGTGAGGAAGCCGATATTCTCGTGAGGACCTTTAGCGGTGCCATCGGTAAACAGAATCAGAAAATCCTCGTCTAAAGCATTACCTGTCAGTTTCGTCAAATTTTCGCATCAATGTCTGGTCTGACGAAGATCCAGGCTCGATTTCCACGAGGATCGAACTTGGGGAAAGCGAGGATATTTGCGTTCTATTAGATTAAGTGATAATCATTACGATGCGAAATTAAACGACGTCGACAAGTAATTAATCTCCGATTGAGCTTCAGGTTCTCTTGTCAGCGTCCTGTCGAGGCGTTTCGAGTTTAAATTACCATGTTGTGCGTTTTTTTTTCAATATTCGCGTAGATGTTTGATAAGATATATTGTTTATGTTTGCTCCATAGTTTGCTCCATAGAAAAAGATGGAAAATGGTTCAGAATATATATTTTTTCATTGATAAAATTTGCTAACTGATAATTATTCCTTTTATATATATACACATATATACGTACACATGCTAGTGCAAATGATAAAATGATGCTTTTTCAGTTACAATCATTAGTACTATCATCATGGGCATATTATTTATGTCAGAAATAAACTATTATCTCACACCAACTATGAGCGAAGAATTATTTGTAGATACATCTAGGGGCTCTAAATTGAGGATCAATTTGGATGTAATAGTTCCAACTATATCTTGTGATCGTAAGTACAGATTGAGTTTAATATTTATATATATACACAGAAAAAGTAACATAGTTTCTATATTTTTGCAGTTTTATCAGTAGATGCAATGGACACAACTGGTGTGCAATATTTGCAGATAGAACATAATATCTTTCAAAGACGGTTAGACTTAAATGGTAAACCCATAGAGGACCCACAGAGAACAAGTATATATTTCCTAGTAATATAAATAAATTATATAAGAAATAAAGCAAAATGAAAAAAAACTTTCTGATATGAAATTGTTTGGTATAGATATTACAAAAACCAAGGCTGTTGTGAAACCTACAGATGAGGTACTTGAGGACTTTCATATCTTTTCTCATTGAATTTTTATTTGTAAATTAATATTGAAATATTCTTACAGGAAACACAGATCAGCTCTACTACAAAAGTTTGTGGAGATTGTTACGGAGCAGCTACAGAGACGTTAGAGTGAGTCAGACTTTGAATATATATTGAGGATTAATTTCATCAATATATGTATCTATATAAAATTTAACTTTATTGTACAGATGTTGTAATACTTGTGATGATGTACAAATGGCTTATAGACTTAAGAAATGGGCTATGCCAGACTTAGCTAAAATTAAACAATGTCAAAATGATAAATCTGCAGACAAGTACAAGCATGCCTTTACACAAGGCTGCCAAATCTATGGTTATATGGAAGTGAATAGAGTTGGTGGGAGTTTTCACATTGCTCCAGGTGATAGTTATTCCGTCAATCATGTACATGGTAAGTTGACAAGATAAAATTTTTTTCTTATGATATCTATTTATAATATCACAAATTTTCATTAATGTAACAGTGCATGATGTTCAACCTTACAATTCAAATCACTTCAATATGACACATAAAATTAGACATTTGAGCTTCGGACTCAATATCCCAGGAAAAACAAATCCTATGGATGATACCACCACAGTTGCTACGGAAGGTATGTCCTTACAGCTATTTTATTAAGAATATAACTTACTGTTCTTACAAACAGTTATAAACTCAATGCAACCATTACAAAAAATTGTAAATCAAAGATATATGTCAAGATTTACATCATCCATACATACATATATACGCTAGCATCTTATTCCTGTTCCAATAGCCATAAATGTACCAAATGTTCCACCACCTTGAAGCATTAGTTTTCCAATATTGGTATATAATTCTCTTCCTCTCAGTCCATATCTGGTAATCAAATGGTTTGTAATTACACATATTTGCTAGGGTTATTGAATGTGTTTGTAGTGGCAATTGTTATCAATGATACCTAAAGGAAGAAAATCCACCAAAGAGCGCACCAGAGCTTATACCAACAAAGAATCCAATTGCAAAACCTATTTTCATTCTATCAAAGCACGAGGGTCCTTGACTGTAGGCTCCTGTTGATATAGCAGGCATCTTGCGTGGACTTTATCTCATAAATCAAAAGAAATTCTCTAAATTTTACATACAGTCGCTTAGAATAAACGTGTAGAATTTTTTGTGGCATACAAATACGCGTGTTTTTGAGGTTGCTTAACCACACATATATACATATACTTACTGTGAAAACGTACCTTACGTAATATTGCAGCGGTTACTATCAACCGGTCGTATTTTTACTTATCAATTTAGGAATTTGATAGCGTTTCTGCACAATCACCAAAAATCACGCGTCGCACTCGTAAGACGTTACCGCAGAGACGCCATGATGGTTTCGCTGTAAAAGAAGACGGTCACGCCGTCTGCTATTTCCGTCGAATGTGACGTCACATGTTGATACGGCGGGTCATTCGTATCGCGTATCAAATATAGATAAAGAAAAAACGATATGAACTTAATTTTTTCATTGAGAAAATTAATTTATTGAATTTAACTTCTTGGCGATTAGCAGAAGCGTGATATTTTTATAAGATATTTAAACTTTACTTTTAAAGAATTTTCTAGAATTAGGATGATTGATTGATGATACCGATTGGAGCCTTACAACTGACACGGTTATTTCATTTTTTAGGTGCTATGATGTTTTATTATTATATCAAGATCGTGCCAACAACGTATGTCCGCGCGGACGGATCGACCCTCTTAACGAATCAATTCTCAGTGACACGACATTCGAAGCGGATGCCGCTGTACATGAGCGACTCCGGCATGCCTGGCATATTTTTCAGCTACGAGCTGAGCCCGCTCATGGTGAAGTACACGGAAAAAGCAAAGTCGTTCGGGCACTTTGCAACAAACACTTGTGCAATCATTGGCGGTGTATTCACCGTGGCGGGACTGATAGATTCGCTACTTTATCACTCAGTGCGCGCGATACAGAAGAAAATAGAGCTGGGAAAGTACAATTAAAACTCGGGACCCAGTCGATGTCGATTACCGTTAATCCCGATCGGCCTCCTTCCTCTTGTCAATGCAGATTCTCAAATGTAACTGGCAAACTTTCAAGAGTCCATCTGACTTCGCGGCGAGAAGAGCTGATTGGGACTGGCGTTGATGCGACGCTCAGAAGAATAATTAAACAGAATTACGAAAAGCATTAATGAGAATGATGTTGTTGCAGAAGCATCGATTTTTCCACCGAAGCCCGATATTTCTATTGTGGAATCTCAATGCGCGTGTAACGCCAAATAGAACTGTCAGTCAATAATTCGATCTTACTTACTTACACTGGGACGTGTTTGTATCGAAATGTTAGATAAGAAAGTAAAAGTAAAATAACGGCTCGCCACACGCAACGGGATGCGAAGAACGCTCTTTTTCTTTTTATGACAATTATACAAAAAGAAATGTAAATTATATATGTATTATGTATATGTATAACGTATGCTAATTATATTCTTCGAGTCTTATTTAAGTAAAGGACAAGGTGATTAGTTTTATGTTTATAATATAAAATATACCAAACAGGAATCCCTTGATATCTTATAATATAACGAAATGCGATAACTGCTAGAAATAATTTGAACAGCAATATTTTTATTAATAGGTTTATTTATATTTAAGCTATAGTAATTAAAATGTTTTTAAAAACTCATTGTATACGTCGATGGATGTCTTCGCGATATTTCTACAGAAGTCCACATCTGTACCACTGACCAAGGCTCGTGGTGAAACATACAATGGTTTGGAAGGATCGTAATTGGCCTTTTTCATTTCTACCAAAAACATGTGCCTCTGTTGGAGCCTGTTCTTTCGACAGAGCAAGATATGCGGGGATTGCACAATTAAATCATGTGACAACTTCATTTCGTCATGAACATATTCAAATATCCTAATTAGTCTTTCGCGATCTGAAAACAATTCAAAGCATTAGATTGACAAGATTTATAAGCTTTGGGAATGTGTTAATGGTGTTTTTTACAATAATTGTGTGCATACTTTTTACCCATAATCTGGGCATCCTAAGGAGCAATTGTTTCATTTGTTTGTCATTAAATTCCATATCTTGCTTGATGCTGAATGTATTAGCCATTATGTGCATCATGTGGTATGTTACCACTTTAGGTCCCTTGACTGTAAAGATTCTGACTTCATTACCCTTAAGTTTGAAGTTAGTTTGGAAATAGCTAAGTCTGCCATCAATATCCTTAGTACTATGTAACAACCATCTAGGATTCTTGCAAATGATAGTCTTTATCATATTTATGTTGAATTCATGTGCCCTCAAGTATCTTATTCTGGTATGAAGATCATCAATATCTTCTTTGAAGATGTAAGGGTTCTTAGTGATGAAATGACCTAGATAATCAGCCGGCACACCACAATCATACAGAAATGTGATGTATGGCTTTACATCGCGGTCGAAGTCGAGGCCCAGAATATATTGTACCATTCCTTCTTTGGACTCCAATTTATACAGCTCTACCCCGAGTTTCACCAGCTCTTGGATTATGCGCGATTTGTTCGCGTACTTGGCGAATGAAAAAGTAGATGTGAGATATGGACCGATGTCGGACAAATCTTCGGTATATACGTCCAGAGGTTTCGGTAACGTTATGCTCTTCTCGTCATCATCGTCGAGGAAATTGTCAACGTGTGGAGCAGTGATGTTCGGATGAGCACAAGTAAGTGATGTAGCTTTTGCCACATTATTGTCATTTTGCGTAGAATGCGATGCGTAAACTCCATCATCGAATTTCTTTGTGTCTTCGGACAAGGCAATTGGGTTGGAAAGCTTGACATCCGTCGAATCTTTGTCATTTTCTTTCGACAAGCACTGTTGAAGTCTATTATTTCGCGAAATAAATCGAGCAATTAAGTTTGTTGTGATATTTCCTGCCGGTCGAACCGCTGACAGAAGTTGATAGGATTGTCGAAACAACATATTTAATACTTGGTTTATTTAAATGATTTAAGTAAAAAAATAACACGTATTATTGAATCCTTCGCGTATTTTGGGGAAAACGTGAAGCTTTCTTTTTTATTTAGCAAGATTACAATAACTGGCGCATGATAAGCTGCTTCGTTCATTTAACCTAAATTTTCAGCACTTGATGCAAACGACGTATATTCGAAAGCAAAATAGTATAAATCGATAAATTTCGAAATGCATTTTATATCTACTAGGAGAATATACAATATAAAGTAATTATTATTATTTTTATCATTCATAATGTCATTATTGCGTTTTTTATTTGACTCAGTTTTATGGAGGTCGGTAAATTATGGTTTGAGTCTCAGTTAAAAATTAATTTTAGCCAAGATTCGAATCGTAATTTATCAGCCTCATAAAATTTAGGCGAGATCTGAACTACAATTTACCAGCTTTCAATAATTCAAATCAACTTTGCTCAACAAGTTTATTGTTATACCGTTAGATGACGAAAGGTACTTGATTAGCTTTTGTCGAATTAACAAATTGAGCTAAATTCCAAAATCTTTATTTTCTCATAAGAAATACACAAAATTTAATAAGCTATAATTTTGATAAAAATAATGATAATGAAACGATTCGAGAAATATTTTGCAGTTTAAAGTCTTTAGTTATAAAGGCATAAAAGTGACATAATATTGCTGTTATCCTTCGTTAATATATGTTTAGTTTAATGAAAGATAGCGAAACTTTTATTTTTAACCTTTTGATAATGTGATAAACTTTACTTTTTTATTAGGAGGAATAAAGAGGTAAAGAGAACGAGAGAGAAAGACTAACATTTGTATTATAATTTATTATTATTTTTATATGTTTTGATCTTCAGTCTGTCCGATGTTGTAGGTTTTACACGTACGCGTGTTTCTTTACTGATTATATGTCTACGTTAGTAATCCAATATACTGGCGGATTTAGGAATTACGCAGCACCTTCGTACATGGCATTGCGTCATATTGATTCTATGAAAACATATAAAAACTGCTATAAATATGTATCTGTACTTAAGAAGATATTTGTAATGTCAACGTGCGCATTGTAAAAAGACGAGGTCAAGGAAGAAGATTGTAGAAAAGCGTTGTATGAATAAATATTTTATTATTTTAAAATGGCTAAACCTTTCCCGCTGATAAAAGTTAATTCGTTTCCTGGCACTTGTTCAAAATTGACTGCAATTAATTAGAGGAAACAAGCGACGTCAACGAAAATATTTGTATACACACACACATATATATATATATATCCTGAGGCTAAAAAGTAAAACAGTTTATCCCACATTCGATGAGCTTATGTACAGACCTTTAAAAAATTACGCATCTAAAGAAACGTGCAATATGTTACGTAACAAAGTTATAAAACTGTATAATAATTCATCAAAGAAATTTTAATATTTCCATTGTAAGAATTGAAGATCGTTTCATGATAATTTCTTCAAACTGTAGGAAAGATTAAAGATATACAAAATACAGCACACATTACACACACAATACAGTGGGGGAGGGGGGGAGAGAGGGACGAAGCTCCGTTCCGCATTACACGCTCTGTCACGTCCTCCACGGGAAAAGGATTAACTCGCGCGTTACATATTAAGGCGGCAAGATAATGCGCTTTGATTCACATCGATATACAACTTAGGAAAGCTTCACACGCGCGATAACAACGCACGCGATACTTTCGTCTATTCTGACGGCTCATTATTTCCTTCGAAAACTGTCAATCATATGCACATTCACGCACGCTTAATCACACGCAGGCACACATATACACATACGCGAGCACACGCATGCAAATACGTCGTGCGCTGAGGTCCTTAATTATGTAATCTTACATCTCGAGTTCTTACAGCAGAGCTGCTACGACGAGAGTGACGCGCGTATACACATACACACACACACACACACACACACACACACACACACACACACACACACACACACACACACACACACACACACACACACACACGTACGCACGCATACACCTGGCTATTATTATGCGATATAAGTACGTTAATTACAACATTTAAGAACACTTTAATTCACGATCAGCATCTCAATATATCAAAACGTAAACGGAAATCAACTACCGGAATGTTCCTTATAATTACAAACGGTAAGATAACAGAGCGTTCGCCGTCACGCTAATATCGCGCGTGCGCGCCCGCGCTTTAGTTATTGTTCGTCGTCAGCGTGGCTGATCATCTCTCGTTTAATGCCACGTTTCGCTTTCCGGCATGAAGCCGGCTGAATTTCGCGAGAAATCGTTGTAATTACGGCACTGTATCCGACGACGGAAATACCGCCTTTTAACGGATAGCTTGACTAGGCAGTTCCGACGTGCATTATTACTCTGAGAGATACTTGCCTCGCCGATACTCGGCGCTACCGTACTTTGCCTTCCTTCACGAAATTTCAAACTGATTAAAAGCTTATTTCGCAACGGAGACTGCGGCCAATTACCGAACCGGTGATGGCCAAAGTTACGCACAGCAGGCCCGTAAGAGCGACGGAAGAGCGAAAGGGGGACGTCGCGCCGCGCTTGGAAGTCGAAAATGCGTAATACGCGTCGCGGAGAACGTGCGCCACGCGTTCGTACGCTATATTGCACATGTATTATTATCATCATCATCATGATCATCACGTCCGTCCACCCTCTGATTTCTTCCCGCCTCCTACCCTCTTTGCCCAGTACTCTTTCGCATAGGCGCGATACACACAGCGTTCTGGTGAAATCTATCTAGCTCTTTAAGTCAACGTGTAAATATATAGAGAGTCCGCGCCTTTGTCCTTAAATTAAATTAAATTAAACGTATCCTCCGTGATCTCCTATCGTGTCCCTCCTCTGTCTGCAGCCTGACTAGATCTCAGTTTCTTATTCCTGCTTCGGCCGGTTCAGCCTGCCGTTCGACGCTTCGCCGTTTGATTGGCGATTTTTCGCTTGCTGTCGCAGCTGGGCTCGCTTTAAGCTCGTCATCAATTGACTGGACTGATAAAGCCAACTGGCCTGAAAAATCGTAACGCGTGCGGTGCAGTCGACGATACTCGACGGACATGTTACAACCGAATTGTTCGGTAAAACGTCGCTACATTCCTCTGCACTTACCACCATAATCATACAATTCATTAGAATAGGCACGGAGAAGACGATGGATATAAACAAGCCTTTGGAATCGAAATATTGCTGTCTGGAGAAGACCCTGTGAAAATGATCGAGATCTCAGATTACAAGTGAAACTCTGAAGAAATCCGACGCGCGAAAAGAACGCTTTTTAACAGACATGTTTCGATACGTTGTAACTGATACCTACATCCAATTGGTCGCCGCTACCTCATTGATGCTTTCCGAGAAATAAACGAGAAGCACTGAAACAGAGACCAGAGCTTAGGGCGAAGTCCCGGTAAAAACGGGCGCGGTGCCACGAAAGAAGCGAGAACTTACGAAGCACGAGGAACAGAATTATTTGAAAGTTCGCATGATTCCTGGTCATTAACGCGGTCATCGTGATGGCAATGTGAAAAGTCAACAGCACGGCTAGCCATGGGTCTCTCCAGTCGATCTGTAACAGGAGAACGCGCGGCGCGTACGCCGTAATACAACACGTCTTTCGAAATCGATCTCAATTTGCGGATAAATCGGCTCGGCTGAAGAAACACGAGAGAGCGAAATATTTCATTAACGTCCGTTGTAAAATCCGTCGTCGTATCTTATCTATTAGAGCGGTTTCTTTCATTTTCGCGTGATTGCTCTCGCGAGTAGACTCGATCGAGCAACAAACAAAGTGTGCTTTATCGATACGTGCTTTATCCCCGCCGCCCTCCCCCCGATCCTGGCTGGCGATACGACAACTGGCGTGCGAACGAGCTTCAATCGCAGCACTTGCGAGGAAAGCAACACCCAGCCGGAATTTCCTCTTTCCCAGGCAGAAAAACAAAAAATCACGATGACATGAAAATGACGGGAAAGTGACGACGAATTGTGATGGAAAAATGACTTCTTTCCTGTTCTGCCCGGGTTCCGCTTTCGCGGTCGCGGCCGACGATCCAAAAATATTCACGCGCGTCCTGGAGAGCGAGGCGCGTAGCGCCTCTCGTTTCTCGCTCGAGGACCCGCTCGCGGTCGGTCCCTCGGTGCGTTTGTCCTTGAGCGAGCATGACGGCAAACCCGACGAAAATAGTACGCCGGTGGGACGGATATGTCGATCGGCCGATTACGATCGCCGGCGCGGCGTGCGCCGCGCGTGCCGCCAGGCGCGAGGTTGCGCGTCGTCGGGTTTGCATCGTTTGAACCGTCGAGGCCGTAGAGTCGTATGCGATCGTTGCATTCGCGCGCGCGACGATCGATGATAAGATAAACGCGCCAAGTAGGGGGGGGGGAATTAATTGGAGACGCGACACGCGCTGGGCTGGCTCGCTCGCTCGCTCCGTTCCGTCGAAACCGAAAGTGGCGAGCGTGGCGGTGCGGTATTTGGAGCGCGGCGGAATGTACCGCCGTGTCGCAACAACGTTGGGTGCAGCAACAATGTTTACACCGGTGTCCGCAGCTCCGTTCACCGAGGATATCCGCGGCGGATAACCTCGCTATTTCCGGCCGTACTTCCCTCAGAATTATATCACCTCGTGCTCTGTACGCGCGGAGAGCTTGAATATTAATCCGTCTCATTTAAATTGCAAAGATCGCAAGGATTCGCGGCGCCTGCTGATATATCTTCGCGTGTCAGCCGAACGGTGGAGGGGGAAGCATGTGTAACGTCGTGAAAATTGCGCTTGCTCCTCTCTCTCTCCTCAAGTTCTCCTCCTGAAATCCCGCGTCTATTTCCGATATTCCGATTCGGCGCGATGAAAAGAGGTAAATTTATAAACGAACGGAAATATCGTCCAATGACTCGACTCAAGTCGACTTTGCATATCTGTTTGACTTTGTGGCACTGATTATAATACGGGCGAGTGAAATATGGAGAAGGCAAACTTGGGCAAACAGTTTTATAGATAAGGACTCGTTGGGTATTAGTGCTTCATATTTAATAGCGTGGTATCGCGTCACCTGAACGTAACGATATTTTAATGATATTTTGACGACACGACATTATGACATTACTATCAAGATTCAAATAAGCGAGGAACATTCTCCTAGATCGTTCTAAATCCATAATGTAAAAAATGATGACTTTCATATCTATAAAAATGGATTCAGCTCGGCTTTGAGATACGCTTCGTGCACGGTTCTACACTATCTCTTCGACTTCAGACAACACGACCGCGCGCGCGCGGCAGAGAAAATGCAATTAATCGCCGCGGCGAATCATTCGTAGCAAAAAGTCGCTCCCTCTTTTAATCCTATCCTGCGTAAAAACAACCTCTTCAATTGTTGACACGATGTAACCGAGTCGTCGTTGGAGCGATCGAGGAACGTGAAATGCGCGTGAAGAAGAAGAACGCACGCATGTTGCCGGAAAATACGTTGCTCCGCGAACGAGGGAGGTTACCCGGAGTATCGAATTGAGCGAGCAGACGGTGAAGCGATATCGCGCCGACGGCCAGCTGGAGGGCTGAAAGAACAAAGCAACGGCAAGGTCGACGACTCACACTCTGCAGGAAGGGCCATATACCGTCGATCTCGTCCGTAGCTATCAACATCGCATCGTGTCTCGACATTGCGCCTCTGGCACACTGATGCAAAGGCCTCGAGACTCGAGTCTATCGCAGTGATAACGGCGGCGGCGGCGACGGCGACGGCGACGGTGACGGTGACGGCGGCGAGGAGGTGCTGAAGGAGCGAAAAGAAGAACAGAGCAAGGCGATCGCATCCGCGACAACCAAACCACGAAGAAATCTCTGCGCACTGTTCTCGCGGACAGCGGCGCGACCGACTGACTGATTAACCAACCGACCAATCGACCAACCGACGGAGCCGACTGACTCACTGACTGTCTAATTGACGCGAACGAAGTGTATATATATGTACGCGGCGTCTCTAGAGAATACGCCAATGTCGTATACACGCGCCCACGCGTTCGGTAAGACGGATAATATTTATAACGACGCGGCCGGATGCGGCGGCGTGATGGTCGAGAAACGCCGCTCCCTAGCCCTATCTGCTTTTACACCGCTGAATATGTATAACGCACTTGCGTGTGAGAGCGTATGTCGGTAACTTATATTCTAGAGACTTCAATCGGAGACACCGATTTGTTGGCGGGGAACAAATATTTCTGTCTTCAACATGGTGAGATTTCAGGCACACTTGGCCCCGATTGGCCCGATACGCCATTGACTATGCGTTCAGCGGAGAAAGTTGCTTGGAATTGTTGTAAAATTCATAGGTCTGATTGGTGCATGGATGCTCTCAATCTTGGGCATGTACCAATCAGAATCATGAATTTTACAATAGTTGCAAAGCGGTTCTGCTGAACTAGCTGTATCCAATTTCAACACATGAAGTTTGATAGGCTTTAAATATTTCGTCTAACTTACACCGAGAGAGAGAGAGAGAGAGAGAGAGAGAGAGAGGGAGAGAGAGAAAGAGAGAGAGTGACGTTGGAGCAGTACCCAACTTGCCCAGAGCCATCTGTTGAAGTGAATTGATATAGGCTTTATAAACATCATAACCTGTACGTTGCTGCATACCCAACTGCATGTGATTTGCGAAAAAAGTAAATTGGATTTGGTATTATGGGGAAGAAAGGCAAAGGAGGAAATAACGCTTTAGGAAAGTCTTTGATCAGAGATCGATTTGGGAGCAGGAAAATTAAAAAGAACAATAATGAACCGTCTATGGTAATATCATGAATTTTGCTTAACTTTTTTATGTCACCCTCATATATTATTCGTGATCATTAGCAACACATGTTCTGTTTGTAGCTCCATACTTCTGAAATCAACGACGGTTATGACTGGGGCCGGCTCAATTTGCAGTCAGTTACAGAGGAGAGTTCCTTCCAAGAGTTCCTGTCGACTGCCGAACTTGCAGGAACTGAGTTCCAAGCAGAGAAATTAAATGTCAAGTTTGTGAATTTCAAGAATGGTTTGCCCTCAAAGGCTGAGCAACACAAGATTCTAGAATCACAAAAGAAAAACAAAGATCTGTTGAAGATACCAAGAAGACCAAAATGGGACAGCTTCACTACTGCGCAAGAATTGCTGAGTCGCGAGAAAGACGCGTTCTTAAAGTGGAGACGTTCTTTGGCCGAGTTACAAGAAACCGAAGGAATAATATTGACGCCTTTCGAGAAGAACTTGGAGTTTTGGCGACAATTGTGGAGGGTTGTAGAGCGTAGCGATGTTGTTGCACAAATTGTGGACGCGCGTAATCCATTGCTCTTCCGTTGCGAAGATCTGGAGCGTTACGTGAAGGAAGTCAATGCTGAAAAATTAAACATGATTCTTATCAATAAAGCAGATTTTCTAACGAATGAACAGAGGGAGGAATGGGCAAAGTACTTTACAGATGTAAATGTACAAGTAGCCTTCTTTTCAGCGTTATTATCGGCAAAAACAATCAAAGAAGAGAGCGAGAACGAAACGAATTCAGGGGATGAAAGCGAGGACGAAGAGGACGAAACTGACAACGAATCGGTTTACAATTCGGCACTCGTATCGGAATCAGAATACGAGAGTGCTGAGGATCCCAGCGATTCATTCGCCGCGTCCAACACGGAAACTGAGAATAAGAAACGAACAGAAGCTTCGGAAGACGCGTTAGAAAGACTGAAAATCTCCACAACAGGTTCGGAAAATGAAAAAGTAGGAACTGAGATAGCAGTTGATTCCAAGTGCGAGACGGAGAAGAGAATCGTTAATTCGTCGGAATTGTTAGACAGGGACGATCTTATTGAATTATTAAAGACAATATACACCGGTAAAACGTATATGGACGGCGGAGTGACGACAATCGGATTGGTAGGCTATCCAAATGTCGGCAAAAGTTCCACTATTAACGCACTGTTGAAGGATAAGAAAGTCTCTGTGTCTGCCACTCCAGGCAAGACTAAGCACTTCCAGACACTGTATCTGGATACGGATTTGTTGCTGTGTGATTGTCCGGGTTTGGTGATGCCAAGTTTCGTTTGCACAAAGGCGGAAATGATCCTGAACGGCATACTTCCGATTGATCAGATGAGAGACCACGTGCCGCCGGTCATGTTATTAACCACTTTGATACCTAGGCATATCCTGGAGGATCTGTATGGTCTTATTTTAACTGTTCCACAGGGAAAAGAAGATCCCGATCGTCCGCTAACCGCGGAGGAGCTTTTAAACGCGCATGGATGTACGTAAATTAATCCAATCATTAAGATACTCAAAAGTACAAAAGATACTAAGGTGACGATATTAATATCTCACTTGACTATCTTTTTTTCGGTATTTGTATTCTACAATAATGTCACATCGTTACGATAGTTTTCTTTTTTAGTAGTATTTTTTATTAATTTTTCACTTAGTATCATATAAATCGTACACATATAGTCGAGCTGTACTTTTGTTACCACGTACATATATTTCGTAATGATGGATATTGTAAATAAATATTCTCTTTCTTATTTTTACTGCAGATAATAGAGGTTTCATGACGCAAAACGGCCAACCGGACAATGCCCGTTCAGCCAGATACGTTCTTAAGGATTTCGTTAATGGCAAATTATTATACTGCGTCGCTCCACCGACAGTCGAGCAAGAACGTTTTCACACGTTCCCGCAGTGTCGTCGGGTTTTGTCCGCGAACAGGCACATACCGCCCAGAGCGGTCAGCGTGATTAAAGGGAGTGAGATAACGGAAGAAGAGTTCAACCGTATGTTCTTCCAGGATATATCGTCTGGTGTACATGTCAGAGGGGTTCCCGGCAAGCACGCGCCGCAACATTCGTTGTCTACGTACGCCACACCAAAAACACTCTTTTTATATCACTAAATCTTTCTTCCGCTGCGAGTATCTTATATTAAGACGTGTAAACGTCTTTGTCTCAAATGTATATTCTGTGGTCTGTGGTCTTAAAAGAATTCGTCCCAAGGCATTAATAAGTCTCGGACATGGTCTGTGAAATGGTTACAAAGAGCATGATTCGTGTGGTTACTTCTGTATAATATTGGCAATAATCGTATAACTTGGGAGAGATTGATTAGAATAAAATAAAACTCGATTAAATTTCAATACCCGAATAATGCTTCGCTTCGTACGATAAAGATATACAATTATCAGATATATATCTCGTACTTTCATGTAAAATTCGCAAATAAATACAGTTTCTCTCAAATTTTCAGGGATGCTAAGTCGAAGATTGGATCCACGCAGAGTCTGATGCTCCATGAAAAACCATGGAAGCAAATAAATAAACACGCCAACAAGAAAAAGCGCGAAAAAGGACGAAGATTGTACGCTCATCTTGACCAACATTGACTGCCAAACGTGCACGAAAGTATAAATTCTCAACGATTTGCACATAACCGAAACATCATTTCAATTAGATTTGCTATTATTTTTCACATACAATCTGCGATATAATTACGGATCGTGAGAAGACGGGATCGTATTGGCATCCCGCAATGCGTATTATCTATTGTATACAATACATGTACATATGAATCTGTGGTTGACTTGTAAAAAAATGATTTTATATTTTATCTCTCTATATTTTATTACTTCATTAATATATTTACGTCGTACTAAAAATCTCGGCACCCCAACCCGACATGCTACGTTCGATAAGCAGTTGTACGATGTACGATGTACAGCCGCGAATCTCGCAGCACATCTATAACGGCAATAACCTCGGCAATAAAGTGCAGAAGTTCAATTCCGCGCAGAAATCAGATTTCAAATGATCATCTGTTAAGTAGGAAGCACAATAGAATTCTCTTCATTCGTATCAGAATGCAGTCCACACGATTCGATGAATAAAAGTATACGCGGCATATATATTTAACTTATATATATATATAACTTTTCTCTTATAAATAAGTTCATGTGTGTATGTGTGTGTAAAGTTTGACGAACACCATTTTCTAAATGGCTGTTCTTATGAGTAACAGATCTTCAGTAAAACAACACAGTATGTAATATCGTCCTCGAGAATTTCGACTCAAATTCGTGAAGTAATTCGTCTATGTCATTATCTAAGTCCTCACTATTCGCTAGCTGAAACAAAAATTCACATGTTATCGCGTGTGTAGTAGAAATTAGATTGAGCATATAAGCATATAAAAAATGTATAATACCACTGTGACTAGTTCACATATAAGAAATGATCCTACGGTGGCCTCTTCATGATTATCTTGAATATCAATATTAATTAAATGCACAGGTTGATTATCTTCCTGAGTTCTAGATTCCATACATTCAATTACTTGATCGTACACACGCTCCTCGCAAGTAATTAAGATATCAAATTTATCCTTGGATAATTGAAATCGTTCTGGTCTAGGTTTTATCCGACGGTTTCGATCCAACATGTGCAATAAACCATTCTGTGTATAACTGTACTGATCATTCAGGAATATATTTATGTTAACAATCATATGTCATGAACCACATGTTTATAAAGTTGAATAAATAATGTTGTTATTCTAACTTCCCAATTTCTTTTTTGAGAATAATTTACATAAAAAATGACCAAAATACGTATATATTATAAAATAAAAAAAAGTATGATATATGAAAAAAGTTACTAACTCCAGAAAGTTAAACTACCAACTCAGTACACAAATTGCAAAGGTAATTAGGAACAAGATAGATTTATATTTTCAATATTATACATGTAATGCAAGAAATATCAAGAAGCTTATTTTTAAGTCAAGGATACTATTGTTTGTCTTTTGTCAATAGGTCATTGTAGATCTCATCGTACGATGTCCCAAAGTCATAAATGTTAGGACGATCCGGTGCGTTTCCAGGTAGCTTCACCTTATCCCCAGTTCCAAATGATTTCACGTTGAAGCCCTTTTTGCTGAAACAATCGTATTCTCAAATGTACTTCTTGTTTATTGAGTAGTGGATCTTGCTTAACCCCTCTAGTGAAACATTTATTTCTTATAATTATTTTTTTCTTTTTTTTCTTTTTTTAAGAAAAAACCTCTGATTCGAATTCTTAATAGTTCTCTGTGCGAGAAAATTGCAACAACTCGGATCATTTATGGATTAACCGTTGCTCCGGGTAGGTTAATCACTGGATCGATTACCTCAGGAAAGCGTGCGCTTCCATGCTTCTGTTCATATTGCTGGAACAAATAACAGCTACGCTGATAGAATTCGGTGCGGGCATTTTTTTATACGTATCTTCACAACTGTGAAAAATGTAGCGGTATATAAAGACCGTATTATTACCTAACCTAAAAAAATATTCTCGCGTTTGGAGGTTAAGTTTAAGACATTTGGTACAGGCACGAATTTTGGCGTGTTTCTACAAAAGTATAATTTCTTTATATCGAGTTTACGATCGTATAACAGAGAGGAACGTAGTACGACTTGATTAATATGTTAATGATAATAGCAAATTAATTGTTCCTCAAGCAATACGAAATTCTGATGATAATCGACGCGACAATCACGCGAATCGCGAACGGTATTGAGAATAAGGATCTTTCCGTCCGCTCCGTCGAGAGTCATAGGCTGTACTTTAGCGCCATCTATGAACAGACAACTGCTATATGGTAAAAAAATCCTGAAAATACAAAGAACGTTATAAAATGATCTACGAGATATATTTTTACAAGTTTGATAGAGTCTTATAGAAATTTGCATAATTGTTAATATGTTTGAGTGATAGCCTATAAAACATTATTGATTCTGCAATTAATAATTATTTCAGAATAATAATCATTATCAATCGAGATATTTACGCGAGATGCGCTGTATCGTGAATACATCGATAAAGATGTATCGATAAAAACGTATCGATATCAACGCTTCGAGAATTACAAGCGTAGCAATGGCGGCTCGGCAGTTGAATTCGGAAGGTCGTTGCGTTTCTCCGGTGATTTCGGCTTGCTGGGAGGATGAGTCTCAGGTATGTATTATCATCGTTAAGCATGTCAGAAGCGAGTATTGCGTGTTTGCTACGACAGAATATCGTCGAACAGTTGTTAGGAATAAATATCATGCGGAACGGGCTATCAACAAAGTGCCAAATGAAATACGCGCGTCCGCCGCACTTGGTCACTTTTGGCAGCTTGACTCTCTCCTCAGATCATTAAATTTTACACTTTCGACCCGCCGGAGGCGAGCCTTATGCTCAAAATATCATTCGTGGGGAGATGCACCGGCAGTTGCACACGGCAGTCGTCAACAAAAGCCGCGAAAAACACGTGAACGTCTCGCGGTACGGGTCGCCAAGAGTATCGAATGAAGTTGGCGCGTACGATTCTTCGAGAATCGTAATCGTTGCAACATGGCGGTCATTTACGGGACGGATCGCAACGTGACGACCCGGCGGTGAAAAGCCACTTCCCTATTCACGTGTCGGTCCGCGGAAAGTGAGCTTCGCGCGTGGATGCTCGTTGTCGGAAATGCCGAGAGTGTTTCGCGCGTTTGAGTCGACGGAACTTCGTCGAAAGTGAACATCTCGCGGGAGCGAGAGAGCGCCGAATAAAGCTCCGCGCGCGTTCGTCGCGTCGTGTTACTCAGTGCCGGTATGTCAGCAGTTCGAACTTGGTTGGTGTCTTAATGATCACACTACGTTTCACTCTTCCAGCCTGCCGACCAGCAACACCTTCGCATGCTAACGATCGGGAGTCGGGAGTGCAGGACAAAGAGTCGCATCCTCGGTGCTCAGACCGCTGCGTTCTGTGCTGTCGATCCGCCGGATGAAATATCGGTGAGCATCGATCAAGTAGAAGTTACAATCAATCAGCGTATTCTCTCTGTGTGTCGAGAGCCGCATGTTCCATCCTCGCGAATTAACATTACGCCACACACCGCGCGTGTATCGCGCGACCGCGATTTATTTAGAATATAAAGGAGAAAGTAGGAAATCTCGCGTAGAAGTTGAAAGTCGAGTGGTACGTGGAATACGCGAAAAACATTTCTTTCTCACACGTATTCAGATACTTACTTGGTCAGCTCGTCGCGTCGATCACGCTCTTAATTCGCGACGTTGTTAAACGGTATCGCGTCGCATGTTCTGCGAATCTCGCGCGCGGAATTTGCGCGCGCAGCGACTCCTCGTTAAATTACATAATGTCGGTCGCGGATCTCTTGCGAAACCGCGAAATAATCACTAGCGTCGCGTACTTTGCCAATATACCCGGTGACTCCGCTCATCCTCTCGCCGCGCCGCTGTGAAAGATTGCGTGCCTCGATGGCTCGAAGGCCCGAATTAAGGCGGGGCCCGGGCCTGGACGAGACTTTAATTTCGCGGCTCGATAGCTCTCGCAAGACCGTGCCCGTTGTCGCGATTGTCCGAAAGTGAATACGATCAAGCCGGACGAGGCTTGAGCGAAATTTGATTCGGTCGTGTTTAGAACGAGTCGTGGAAGATGCAACGAGCAAATTTCGTAATAACAGGCTGCCGCGCTTTTATCTCGCGTCACCTCTGAACGATCAGGTTCATCGGTCATTTCGAACTTTCATTCTTTTCTCGGCGAAATTGCTGCGGTACTTTGTACTTGGTAAGGTCTTGAATAATCGGCGAATAACGGAAACGCGCATCTTCCGCGGTAAATTTTCGCGGAGTATATAACGATCGAGTCTTCGGGGCACGCTCGGTCCAAGTGCTCGTCTCGCTGTTATTTTCAGGAAATCACTTCTCCTTGAAAAAGCTATGTGTGTCAAGGACGGCAGCATTGTAAAAGCCTGCTGATGCTATCCGCGAGTACGTTATTACGATACGCAGAACGAACGTAAGGAAAATTGTCTGCGGCTTTCTCCCTCGGATAAGTAGCGTATTGTGCGTATAAAACTTGAGAATTGAGACTTTGATCTTCGATAAACGACACGGCGCTCTCTCTCTCTCTCTCTCCCCCTCGTCGAGTCGAGTTTCAACGGTTCGCGCGAATCTCATCTCGCCGATAGGTGTTGTAAAATTAACGAGGCGACCTCAAACTACTTTTGACTCGCATCGTAGCATCCGTACGCTCTCGTTCGGCGAATCGTCGTCGTCGTCGTCGTCGTCGTCGTCGTCGTCGTCATCTGTCGCAACGATCGGTGCACGTGCACCGCATCTCGTTCCGTTGCTCGTACGGGCAAACGGATCAACGATTGACGAAACCAATTTAGATCCATGGCTCGTCTCTTTGTATGGCCTATAATGGCGCGTGTTATGTGCTCGTTGCGCCTCGCATGGTGATTGCTTTACCGGACCACTTAGATGGAAATATTTCACGGCGATTGCAACGTTACGCCGGCGATCGACTTTTCAAACGACGACGCGCGCAAGACGCATTAATTTATTCTCTCTCGTACGATAAAGTCGAATATTCATCGCGCTCGATGGATCTCGTGAAACCGAAACTAACTCACGACCCGCGAGTCTTAATTTTAGCTTGCTCGATAAATTTGGAATCGATCGAAATTGCGCATCTCTTGACTGATCTCGTCTTGAGGAATCTCCGAATCCGAATTAGCGCGAGTGGCTCTCCTTCAGTTACCTCGCTATCGACCGATTCGAGCGAGCGCGAAAATAATTCGCGTGACAATCGCTAAATATAAAAGCGTACAATCGATTGATCGTGGACGCAATCGGTCTTGCCCGGCAAGTCATAAATTATGTCCTACGTGCTCAATGACGAAAACGCAAGGCGGATACGCTTTAACTCATGGATATTAATGACAAGCATTCCGCGACCCTGAGAGTCCGTAAGACTGACATCCGACGGATGTCATATGCATAAACGAGTAGCCAAATGTTTTACGCGATAAATCACGTTTATTTGGCCGTGTCGCTCTTTACTCCGCTGCCAAGGCACGAAGATGTGCCGACGATATATATCGGTCGTCCAACGCGCCGCGGGCGGCAGCGTGATTTGATTATATTCTAATAATAACGATACGGCATGCAGGAATGTCGAATCGTCAGAAATGCACATGCATACGACGCCAAATCAAATTTAAGCCGAATATTGATCTGGCGACGGATAGGACGCGAAAACTCTGACGTGATTATATTTAAATCGAGTTAGATATCGGAGTAAACTTTTCATTGTTATCAAATTTGGAGCTTCGTGTAGTTTCAGAAGTTAAAAAGAGGTAGAGTCGTCTCGTGAAGCTTTCGGGTGTTCATGCATGTATCGATGAATCGAGAGTAATTTGGCCGGGGATTTCTACTGGTGTGTCTCGTCAAATATTTACCCCGCTCGATATATTTGCAAAGCATTCGAGAGGAATCGCGCACACTTAAACGCGAGTGACATGATAATTAAAGATGTCTTTTCGAGTGCTGGGTACACGATTCGGCTCAGCTCTTATTCATCATATACTTCTTCGCTGTCGCGCGAGAACCTTGTAAATCATGAGACGATACAAGCGCGGCCCTTACTTCCCCATTATTAATCTTGGCTTAGCTAATCCTTCGCAAGGATTCTCATGACGAGAATTAATAAATCGCGGGTGGAAAAAGATCGTCATTCCTCGCCGGCTCGTACCGGAGCCGCATTAATCTCGAATTGGCCAATCCCGTATCGTCGTTCGCTAACTCCGTGAAAGTCGGGAAGTCGCGACCGTCAGAGCGGAAACGATACTCCTTTGCGGAGGACGCGACGCGATCGCGAGAGATCCTTCATATACCGGAACTCGGGGGAATTCTTTCGGTTGCGGGACTGAAGTCGTCGTTTCCGTCTCGGTAAGAGCGATTTGAAAGTAGGGAAAATGCGCGACTCAGATTGTCAGTGGGCAGCAGTCGTCTCGTTTCGTCGATCGACTTTTACTAGATTTTAGTAAACTCCATTGAAAGGAATCCGGTCTCCGAGAGAAATGGATCATTGAGCACAAAATTTGCTTGCAAATTTTATCCAGTAGCACAAAAACACGCAACATTAAATTTAAATAAGTGAACGTTTTTATCCGCTTAATTTTGTCAGTTACGAAAGTTTCTACGAATTGCAACGTTCTAAATTCTCTGAGATAATATATTTTGACCAAGCTTCATTTTCCTCAAGCGCGTTCTCTCTTGATCGTTGCAATTAGAAAGCAGGCCCTTTTGTCCGAGATCAGCGATTGATCAAAGGGCTCGCCATTGCGTCGTGAAACGCGCGAGTGAACGCGCAAAGGTCATTGAGGCCGGTTCGCGATTCGCGTCACGACTTGTCCTCGATCGGTATGCAAGCACTAAGTATCTCGCGCCGAGCTGCCTTCGACATTGAGGTGGCTCGATGCCTCGAAAGCGAATCTCAAAGGTCGTCAGAAGAAGTCTGCTCACCGCAGTGTTCTTGCTCCGCACGATCTCGATATTTATTATATTTTGTGGCCACTAGTAAAATATCTCTATTGATAGTCGCCGCTAACTTTCTCGATTGTTCATGCGCGGGAAAACTGGGAATAATTTATTTAGTCAAATTTATATAAAGATATCAAGAAAAAAGTCCCGAGACCTTTTGAGGATGTTTCTAAATAAAATCCTGGCCTTTTTGTCTAATATTCTGTACAATTATTTATCATCAAAAAAAATTTGAAGAATGTTTGGATGAAAATGCGTCAAGTTTCAATCCCAATTGCAGGTCTTTAGATTAACGTATTATTATGTTTCCCTGCGATCGACATTGACCGCAATAAGAGAGACTATGAACGTTGGTTTTGGTTTGCTTTAATATACCAGAGTTGATTCGCACGTAATCCGTGTCGTAGCACTTTGTATCGATTACGTCGCCACAAAATTTGCAGTAGTCGTTCAACCGCTGATCTATTACCGCAATTAACCGCAGCATAAATTATGCAACGAGATACTGCTGTGTCAGGATTAAAATAAATCGCGACTGCACTTGACAACAAAGTGGAGACCGGTTCGGCCGCATCGCGCGAGTATTTCGTAACCAGAAATGTAACATGTATCTCGATATTTTAACGCCGACGGTGATTCCTCTGCGATCGCGACTTGTAATTTCGCCGTTAACCGCCGTGCGTGTCATAATCCGAACGAACGGAAGAGTTCTTCCGTTGTTTCTGCCAAAAAGAAAAGGAAACGCGGAACTCAACCGACGTCGAGTTCGTATATCGACAATAGATCCTTTCTACGCTTGAAATTCAGTCTGCAACGCCTTTCGTGCGAAGTCAACGCCGGCCAACGCCACGTTCCACGGCTGTCGTGAGAGCAACGGACGATAAGATTGCTATTGTGGGACTCAAAATGCGTTGGCGCGTGTCCAACGCAGGCGCCTGCTTTTCGCCCTGGCACTCTACGCGTTTACCTTTCTTTTTTTTGTTTCCTCGCGACTCTCTAACCGCACCTTGCAACGGAAATTCAACTCTAGACGCGAGATCGTCGTAAAGTTTAGCACTTTAACAATTTTACTCGTTGTTAGCAAATCGGGCGTTATATTTCACGTGTAAGGGAAGCGAGGGAGCCCGATCGTTGCAAGTCAATTAATCGTTTAGAAATGATCAGCTGATTCGATAAAAAATACACAAAGTGGTAATAACCTATTATAAATTAGCAATCGACGCAAACTCGATCAATCGGCAGGAAATTCACAAAGAGAAAAAAGAACTAGACGACTAGAGGGGCACTCACACTGTGAATACTCGAATACTTGTCGCGTAACGAATACATCGAATGTACCCGTAGCTGCTTAACCAGGTACTGAGGATAAGTCACCTTTTCCATTAGCATGTGCAAATTTCCGAAGGTGCGAGGCGCGAGCAAAAAGTAGATTTAATCGTTGGCGCGATAGTCACGACGGGTGATCAAAGTTTCCAGCGGTGGCAGTCTAATGGCGGGTCTTATCGCGGCCAGCTTGCACACTTCGCCCTTACCTGTCTTGTCCCGTGCCTGAAACGCAGACACCTTCCCCAGGACTGTGTGTAATTTGCCGACGTGTGTAACAGAAAAACTAGCGTGAGGATTCACGCGTGCGGTTTCTCGCTCGATGCTCGGTTACGTCACGAAGGTCAGTCTCTCCGCGACTCGGGCGATCGTTAACGTTAGCGTTTCTACCTGGTGGAAGTGCTTCTCCCTCGCGCATCTTCGCGGACGCTCGCCACCTCAAGGGAGTGCGTCCGTGCGTGCAATCGCGATGCGACCTTGACGGGCCATTGCCCCGAGATCTTCGCGGAGACAGTCGTTATGTGTATCTCTCTCTCTCCCTCTCTCTCTCTCTCTCTCTCTCTCTCTCTCTCTCTCTCTTCTCTTTTTCTCTTGTCTCCCTTCCTCAAGAGGCGCAGGCCCTCCGCGTCATACAGAGGTTTAAAAATATCGCGCTTCGCGTGAGGGCGACACGCAGGAAGACGCGTATTTATTTTTTCACGGCGCGACTCGCGGAAAAAGCAGCCGAGAAGAGCCGGCCTCTGTCAGCCGGTAATACGACTTAATTGTTATTAATATAACGACGAATATATACATACCGGATCAGAGGTTAGATTGCGAGGTACTCGGTGCGAGTAGAAAAGGAAGAGGGAAACAGCGGAAGTTATTCATGACTCAACGCGACATGTATAGGAAAACGTTGAGCAGTAACGGGGTCAAGTTGGTAACTCAAGCGGAAAAGATCACGACGAGCTACAAATCGCGCGGATCAGGTTAGCTTTCGGCTTATCTTACGTAAGAATGCGGGATAATCTCGCGCTTCTCTCACACCGACGACGGCGCCGACGCCCATCGGCGGGTAACGTCTCGAGCGAGGAAGTTACACGTTAGACATGCACGTGTAGCAACGTCGCTTTCTCCCGAGAGGAGGAGAGGAGAGAGACCTCCTCTCCACCACCTCTTCGTCGCTTCGAAGGCACGTGAAAGCGAGCCCTTACAGAATCGCGATCGTCGCGAACGTGTATCGTCGGTATCGCGGTATCGCGGTATCGTCGACAGCGTGTAGCGCGAAGCGTGGGGCACGCCAGCTTGACGTCGCGTACATCGTGCGTACATGTACGCGGTACATCCGATAATTATCCAACAATTTCAAGTGACGCATCTCTCCCGTCGCATCTCGTCGAAATACGTCTCGTGCTTGAGGTTCGCGTAGCTCTCTTTGCTACGGCTCGATCGTTTGGAAGTTCGGCGGATCTTGCGTCTTGATCGAAGAAAATCGAGAAATTCATCGCGATAACGTGACAATTATGCGTCACAAAAGCCTTCGTCGATTCAGTCGACGAGGTGACCGAACTGCATTTATCAGATGTTATATAAATGCTTTGTACACACTCTCACGTACGTGCGTATGTGCGCGCGCTGCGTGTTTGCAGTCCGTTGCGCAAGCTGCCCCTAGGAGAAGCGCTGGAGAGTCGAGAAAGATCGATTAAAGAAACATACCTTTTCGAGAAAAGAGGTGAAGAAGGGTGTCAAGTGTACACATACACGCTCTCGAGAGAAACGGGGAGAGCGACGCGCGCACAATTCAACGCGATAATTTGAAAATATTAAGTGCGATCTAATCGCTCACGAGAATATTTTGCTGCACGATGAAAAATGGAAGAAAAGAGAAACGTAACGTTCGCTTCCAATTATCGGATGGAAATATTCTTTATGACGGCTGTTTGCGAATTATATTGTAAGAGAGCGTAAAAGCGCGTCTCAACGCAACGGACGAAACGAGCATGTGCGCCTTCGCGGGCGCCGATTAACGCGTGCGACTCGCAAATCTGTTTCACCTTGTGTTCCAGCGAGTGCACGGCTTAATTGTTAGCACGAGTGTTTAGCACTTTGCGCAATTTTCAACACCGACACTTTTAGTCCGCACGCGCGAAAGAAATAGTAGAGTAGAATCTATATACAGAGGCAGACAGAGAGAGAGAGAGAGAGAGAGAGAGACAGAGAGATCCGCACGCCTCACACCTCAGGTGGCGCGGAATTTATCCACGTGGCGCGTGATTCGCGTAAGTAAATGGAAATTAACGCGCGTCTCTTCGTCCTAGACATCGTTCGTGCTTCTTTTTTCCGGTCATCGCGATTACCGCCGAGCGCATCGTCGTAATCGCATCGCTTTAACGAACACAAATAGAATATCCAAGCGTCAGACCCATTTTCATCTCCGACGCAAGCAAACTCGACCCGGATTGAAAATTTGCTTTCACATTAAACCCGCGAACCTATCGCACTTGAAGGATCAATCGAGGATCTCGATGTGTAACGTTATGCAGCCTCTATTCTCCCGCATCCCGCATCGTTGCAAATGGCAATTGTCTCTTGCAATTGTTCTCCATGTTGAGACTTCAAGAAGGACTTTCCAAAATTATTTAATTTTTAATTATCTCGATATATATTCTATTGTAATTCCTATTGCATGAATTTGAATTGCAATCAATCAATCAATACATTTCGACGCGTTAGCACTACGATCGATATCAGCGAATGATATCAATATTAATGTAATAAGTCTCCAACCAAACCAAGAAAAGAGCTGATAAAAGGAAGAGACATGGATATACCGATATACCGATGGATATCGGCCGATAAATATATGTATATACATATATACTTATAATAAGTATCGCTAAATTAGCCGGCAATATTCACGCACGCACGCACGCACTTATACACCCGTAAGGAGATATCCACGGCCGTCGCGTTGCATTTATCCCTAGAATAGAATGCACTTTATGCATTGCAGTGAGGCATCGCGAGTGAGGCAGCGGAGCGAGCGAGCGAGCGAGCGTGCTCCGTTCGTCGGGACGAGGCGTAGATTGCAGGAAGGCCTGCATCAGCATTAAAGCGCATTACTACAACGTCCTCGGCGCGCGTTGTCCTAATTCGGTCGTCGTTACGAGGAGGGCCGTCGTCTGCAGGACGCGCAATTGCATAACGGACCAGCGCGCACCGGTTGATTACACGAACGGCCACTCGTAGCCGCCGCCGATGTTTCTGGAGCAGAGAAGTTCTTCGCGCTGACGTCCCGGTGAGTAATAATGCAATTAATACAGTTCATCAGAAGTAAGGCGCCTATCGAAGGCGCGAACACGGCTCACAAACCGTGCAAAAAACCCAAGAAAATGATGCGCACGAATTCTTAGTACTTGGCTTACGATTGCGAGAGGGTGGTCGATTTGCAGCGTAATGTTGCTGCGGATTACTCATGACAGCTCAATAGTTGATCCCGAGCTCGAGAGGTCTCGAATAAAGTCCATTACGAAGTTCAACCGTGAAAACGACGTTAAGACACGGAAAACGTAATATTTCGACACGAGAAACAATTCATTGACCGCGAGGTTGTTAAGAGCCATCGTCAAGAAATATTAAACGACAGGGGCGAGAGGGGGTGAGATAATAAAACCGGCTTTTAACACGCGCAGCGTTAATTGCGACGTGCAGCGCGCGTTAATTAAGCGCGTATCACGCGTAGCGGCAATCTGTGCATTTATTAAACGCGCCATTCGCGAGGAATTTCTCGCGTGCGAACAGCTCCTGGCTCCTCGGTCCGAAGAAATTGTCGAAGGAGTCGAAGGACTCCGGCTCGAAAACGCGGCGCGGCATTGGCCGACCTTGCGCGATTCCGCGAGCCCAAGCCGTCGCTCCGCTTCGTTGTGGACGTTGCGCACTGTGAAAACGAAAACCCATCCTCTGGCGATTCGCAGAGGGTCGGCACTGACTTCCGATCGGTTTCTCTCAACCTGGTCGGATTTTTGACGCGCACCCACGATCGAACGCGTCGTTCGGCGACAAGCCGAAGATATCGCTCCGAGGCGAGGGGAAAGTGCAGCGGTCGCGCGCCGCGAAAGAGAAAGGCCGCGGGAAAGGATACGTACCCTATGATAGCGCGAACGCCCGGTCTCTTCTCGGTGCATCGGCGCGGTGACCTTTCGCCGTTACGAAAGATTTAATACTTACACTTGGAGGCGGTTTACGGGGAGACGTCGACGATCGAAACAAGAAAAAAAAGAACCGGTCTTCATTCAGACAAGAATAAGCTGTGTGATCCGATCTCGTCGACTCGTGGCTGACCGATAAGGAGTTTGGAGACCATGTCGTGAATCATAAAGCTCTCGATTCGGAAATCCTCATTTGAATGTATGAATATGTGCATCCGGCACACCTTTAACTCGCCTGTCGAGTTTTCAGCGCGGCGTTATTATGATTGATGCTTCGCGAAAAAACGTGCGCGTATTAAAATGAGGAGTGAGCTTGGGATCGAAATGTATAAACGCGTGTTCGAGGGTGCTGCTTTATCACATCAATAGTTGGATTATATGTTTAATTTATCGACGGATTAACGAGACGAACTTTCGCATATAGTATAAAAGTCGAGTCTTGTATAGTAGTGCATAAACATTATCTTATATATTTTTTATTGTTACTGTATATACTGTAATATTTAGTAAGTTTTGTTTCCCAAGTTCCAGGTTTTTAACGACTTCTTAAAAATTCGTCCAACTCACCGAGAGAGAATTTTTTGTTCTTCTAATTAAGATCGTCCGCGGTAATCTCGTTTCTCAAGCGCTGCAACTTCTCCCGATCACGAAACTCTATTATTCGGTCACTTAATGTTCACAACGTGACGCTTTTTGCGACGAACCTTTAATTAGATATGCTTTCATCAAACGTGCCTTCCGGGGGCCGACGTCTCTGTGGGTTACATAGTAATAGGTAGCAAAAAAGAAAAGGAAAAGAGAAACGACGAAGAAGCGCGACTTCTTGTCTTGCAGACGGCGAAAGGATGTTCACTGCGGACATTTAAATATCCAGACGGGCTCAATACATAAACGACGCGTTGTTTCCTCGCATTCATAATGGAGTAACGAATAAAGGAGCGGTTACGTCACGGCAGATCGCGAAGGTCGGAGTGATCGTTTTTTGGCCTGCTGCCATTTCGTCACTGCGCTTTCATCGACAAAGCGCGCTCGTTGTCAATATGTGCATCACCGATGAGCCGGGTTTTAGTAATTAATTATAACGGTAAATCGCTTTTGTTCGCATATAACTTCCTTCGCGTTCGAGCGCTTCGCTGAAATGCCAACCGGTCTAATGATTAATCGCGCGGCATTCGCTACCAGTATTTTCTTCGACCTTTGCATCGTATATCGCGACGGAGGGGAATCTCGACGAAAACAAAGTCATTTTGCGTTGTTGATGCTCGATAACGCCGTAGTGTAATTTTGCCAGACGACGTCATTGCGTCAGTATGCTAATCGGTGTGCTACGCTATGAAAGAGCATGCTTATTAGCAAAATCTCGTTGGTATGGCAATAATTGTGCAATAATAATGATTCTACCGGGAGGATTCACATATATTGAAATTTTGCAAAACCCATTTACAATTAAGCAGGAACGAGAATGAATCACGCTCTGTCGCATTGTGACCTTTCAGTGATGAATATTTTTGCGAGAGAGGAACCTACTGATAACCTCGTGAATATTTCTGTCGGAACATAATTCTCGATCGATTGCAATTAATTAACGACTGATAATCTCGCTTGACATTCCAACGGAACTCACCAAGCAGCTGGCGCGACGACGCGCGACGTCCGCGGAAATATTTTCGCACTTTCGATTGTTCGCAATTCGCGCGACCAGCGTGGACGCCGTGTCGCGGTGTAATCGCGCGCGACAAACTCCGATCCATCGATTTATCGTTAATGAGCGAAACGGGCGAGCATTCTCGCAGAGCACTTTTTAAATAGCCAGCCAATTTGCTTAACAATGTACGCAACGTGCCGATAATTCAGTCGCGGACGAACCCGCGACGACCTACATACGCGCCCAGAAGCTATTAATTATGCCCCTAAGGTTTCATAGCTACGTGCAAGAATGGCGCTTTAAATAATTTATTTCCGATGAGCCGCGCTCACACACACACACACGGACGATAAATAAGGGAAGAGCCGTGCCGCGCGCGCACAGAACCAGATTACGGCAGTGGCCGCGACCTGTCGTTAACGTCGGTGATTCACGACGTCAGAAGCGCTGAAAGGATAACGCTCTCCACACACGCTGACAGTATCCTGCGAATTTATGGTTTATGCACTTCCTGATAAGAACGTGCGCGCGGTTCGTGTACGCGTTTAACGCGTGCGCACGCGCGCGCATTGCGTTCGCGGCGCATGATTTCTGCACTGGACGGTAAAAGCTGCGGTCGCGCTGCAGAGATGGGGTCTGGATTATTCCGACCGGCGGGATTAAATTCGCGGGGAATGATCAGTCGCGGGCGCATAGTGTTTGCGTATTAGAAAATACTGATATATCGGAAAATTTATTCGGCGTTTTTGTCTGAATTATATTAAAAACTTGCTCATCCACTCTAGCGATTCACTTTGCGCCATTTTACCTGGTTTTTAACTATCACACTCGCGATCAATCTCGTAGCTAAGTTAGTTCCCGACAGGACGTTATGCAAGATTCGTGTTTGCGGTTTCCGCTCTTCTCTCTCTCTCTCTCTCTCTCTCTCTCTCTCTCTCTATTTTTTTTATTATTTACCCGGAAACGCGCATGAAAACGGTCGAGACGCGATCGGAGCACACACGGTCGATTGGAAATTGAATTACTCTCACTGTTCACGGATGGTTCGCCGTTTCCGCTATTCTTGATTTCAGACGATTTCGGACTTTTCATCGCTAAGTCAATATTTCCACCGTCGAATCCGTCGCGATCTACAAACGAACGCTTTCATAGCATTTTCATACCATAGTATCAGTAACACGTACATGAGTCATTTAGGTATTCTATTTTCTTATGAAATGTTGGAAGATAAGATATCTGCTAAAGTAAAGCGAATATATATTGGTATCTTTCCATTTTAGCAATTTTTCTGCATTTATGAGCATTTAATCTTATCCGTGTTGACTGTGTACAGTTCTCATTTCGCGTCTCTTATTGTTTGTAACATATTGTTCTTGTACAAAGAATATTGTTTACGCTTTGCGTTATCAGCCCTGCATACACACTTGAAGCCATCATATTACTTGACTGTGTCACGACGTGAAACGTGAATGTATGTAAGTTAGTCCTTTTTGAGATCAATAGATTTAACTAATTTACCCCGGGACGGACTGGTTTGTGTGAATTATGTTTTAACTCGGAACGAAGAAGGATCTTTAGGACTTAATCTGAGGAGACGAATATTTAAGTATCGAATCTTTAATTTTTATCTTTTACAATTGAGAGTCAATAGATCAGAGTGTTAAGAATGTTTTCTCTGTGTGTTTGAGTCGTGAAATACAAGAATGGGTAAGTGAATGAATGGTATGGAATGAATCTTTCTGAATGAATGAACGATAATCGAATCAATGATGATCACTGGTCTGCGCGTCGCTTTTTATAGGCAGGTGGTGAGATATCCCCGCGCGAGTTCTTACCACCTTATCAGTAGTAGGGGAAGGATCTTTTCCATGATATAAGAGTGATAATCAATAATCGTGGTTATGGTATTTATTATCTACCCATTGTTCTTTTAATCTTCTCCGATGAAGAAGCATTCGGTGTTGTATTTATTACGTCTAGACCGAGGATCAAGTGGCCAAAATATCCGGTCTAAACGTTATTGTTAAATTGATTTTATGATTGAATTTAGAAATATTGTTTAAAGTTACGTGGACGTAACAACTGAAACAATCTAGTCCATATTTAGCATCTTTTTTATTAAATAAATGTCGATATAAAAGGATTTATTAAATTCTATCATAGAGACGTATATACACACACACACACACACACACATCGTTAACATTACATTCAGTAAATTTTTCCTTAGCAATAATATATTTTGGAAATCAGCTTCGTTTAACAGTACGAGCGAGATATACAGTTGCATTCGCGAGTGTTTGCGAATGACGCGTATTTAACAAGGCTCCTTGTTAAAAATTCGCAAGGATTTCACAAGGACGCGTTGAGAACTCCGTATATTATGAAGATAGAATCTCTCCGCCGAGTTATCGGAATAGTTATCGGCACGTACACGTATAAAGA